TTACCATATTTAAATATAAAAAAGTCTATTTAAGGAATTAATAATTCACTATCTCCTGTAAGAAAAATGTGCCGAGTTCACGTCGAATCGTTACACGAACCTTATGTTGATGATTTAATATGTTTTGTCTTGCCCACTATTACCGATAACGTTCCCGCTAGACAGGTACATATAGATATTCCTTCGAATATACAGTTAGCAGATCCGTACTTTCACTCGCCAGCTTCCATTGATATTATAATTGGAGCTGACGTATTTTGGAGCTTGTTAGGCTCTGATAAAATTATATTAGGTGATAGGAAACCAACATTACAACAAACTAGACTTGGTTGGCTAGTTTGTGGCCCAGTTAACGGCGGCTATAATATGTTGTCATCTCATTTCCCACCAATAAAATGTAACTTTACAAACTTTCAAAATAAACGTTCTTCTAGTTCTCTTGAGTTAAATGACATCCAAAACCAACTTACGCGTTTTTGGCAGCTTGAAGAAGTTGTCATGAGTCATCAACTTATTCAATTGAAGAGAAGATGTGCGAAGAACACTTTATTAATAACACTACGCGTTTGCCAGACGGCCGTTTTAATGTTAGAATCCCGCTTAAGGAATCTTTAAGTCGTCTTGGTGATTCATTTCATCGTGCAAAACGCTGTTTTCTGTCTTATTAGAGCGCAGAAATTTAAAGCAACCTCCACTCGACAAAATGTACAAGGATTTTATGTCTGAGTATATTTCTTTAGGTCACATGTCCGAGTGTCATATTAATGCAAACCAAACGTCATATTTCATTCCGCATCATGGTGTCTTGCGTGAAAGTAGTAGTACTACAAAATTAAGAGTTGTTTTTAACGCTAGTGCTCCCACAACCTCTGGCATTTCCTTAAATAAAATTCAAATGGTTGGACCTACTGTTCAAGATGATTTAACGTCTATCTTACTTAGGTATAGGATGTTTAAGAACGTTCTTTCTGCAGACGTGGAGAAAATGTACCGACAGGTGTCTGTACACCCGTCTGACAGACACTTGCAGCAAATCATTTAGCGTGATGATGCCTCCAGCTCACTTAAGACGTATCAATTAAACACAGTAACATATAGTACTGCAAGTGCACCATTTCTCGCGACTAGGTGCCTCAAACAGATAGGTTTAGAATGTCACGACAAGAAGATCGCAGAAGTTATTCTGCACGACTTCTATGTTGACGATCTTTTGACCGGTGCTGATCTGTTTGAGGAGGCTTATTTGATGCGCCATCAGATAACTGATGCACTTGCTTCCGCATGCATGCCTTTACAAAAGTGGAAATCTAATGAACCTAATTTAATCTCAGAACCCACTGAATCGTGCTTAGATTTCCACCAAGAAGGTGATGCCATTAATAAAACATTAGGATTGAGTTAGCAGACACACACTGATGATTTGTGTTTTCCTATCAGTGTCCCTGAGCAAAAGGAAGCCACTAAGCGTAGCATGCTAGCTGTTATCGCACGTATATTTGATCCTCTAGGGCTTCTAGCCCCGTGTGTCATACGTATGAAGATGCTGCTTCAGAAACTTTGGCTTGAGGGTTTAAAGTGGGATGACCCATTACCTCCTGAAATTAGAACTGCATGGTTGGGTATGATCAAAGCATTGCCTGCTCTTCAGAAGTTACGCATTCCTCGTCGTGTAGTTTGTGAATCATACAAGCAGTTCGAATTGCATATCTTTACCGACGCTTCAGAGCGAGCCTACGGCGCTTGTGTGTATATTCGCAGTATTAATAATGAAGGTGACGTTGCTGTGCAATTATTGATGGCAAAAAGTCGTGTCACTCCCATTAAACCAGTGACTATCCCACGACTTGAGCTTTGTGCGGCTGTGCTTGGTACACGTTTGTATAAAAAGGTAGTTAGTTCCTTCAGGAGTCGAGCATCTAATGTTGTTTTCTGGACTGATTCTATGATTGTTTTGGGCTGGTTAAAAATGTTACCAATTAAATTAAATACTTTTGTTCGGAATCGTGTTTCCGAAATATTAGAAGAAACCAGTTCTAGCAATTGGAGACATGTCCCTACAGACGATAATCCCGCGGATTTGATATCTCGTGGAGTAGAACCTTCCGCCATGCAAGCATTGGATTTATGGTGGTTTGGTCCATCCTTTTTACGACAGGATATTACTAGACTGCCATGCATGCGTACGGATTCAGTGAACCTACCTGAAATTAAGTCAAATATTTGCCTTGTAGCGAGTGACGCTAATCATAATTTAGATAAAGGATTAATTAATTTGAACGTTTTTCAAATTTTACGCGATTACAGCGTAGTATTTGTTGTGTTACGTTTTATTAAAACATGCAAAACCCGTTCTACATTTACGTCTAACTTTACTGCTGAAGAATTACAAAACTCTTTAAACATAATTATAATTCAGTCGCAAAAGGAATCTTTTCCCGAATATAATTTATTAATAAATAAACAAAAACTACCATATAAAAATCAATTATTAAAATTTAATGTTTTTCTCGATGATAACAAAATAATCCGTATAGGGGGAAGATTACATAATTCTGACTATTCATTCGAGAAAAAACACCCTATATTATTACAGTCCACTAATCATTTTGTCAAACTTTTATTCAGACATGAGCACATCAAGTTAATGCACGCTGGACCTCAACTATTATTAAGTACCATTAGGCAAACCTATTGGCCGCTAGGCGGTCGTAATTTAGCTAGGGCTTGCTACCGTCAGTGCGTTCGATGTCAACGTTTGAAAGGACAGACAGTTGTTCCCCAAATGGGTAATTTGCCAATGAGCAGGCTTTCACCAGCTGACTTTACTTTTCAAAACGTTGGGTTCGACTAAGCAGGACCCATTTCGTCAGCTAGTCGTCAAGGTCGCGGATGTAAAATAGTAAAGGTATATATAGTTATATTCGTGTGCTTTACTACGAAGGCCATTCATTTGGAATTGGTGGGTGACTTGACTAGCAGTAATTATTTACAGGCATTACGCAGGTTTATGTCTCGAAGGGGAAAACCGCTTAATCTTTTTTCCGACAATGGTTCGTCGTTTGTAGGAGCCTACAATGAAATTTCTAATTTTTTAAAACTTAACTGTGACTCCTTAGCTGAAGACGTTGCCCAACATGGAACTAAGTTCCATTTTATTCCTGCCTATGCTCCACATTTCGGTGGACTTTGGGAGGCAGGTGTTAAGTCGGTCAAATACTATTTAATTAGAGTGTTGGGAAATTGTAATCTCACGTACGAGGAGCTTAACTCCGTACTAATTCAAATTGAAGGTATTTTAAATTCGCGGCCACTTACGCCCTTATCTACGGACCCTGACGACGTGCTTCCGTTGACTCCTGGACATTTTTTGATTGGACGGCCACTTACTTCACTTCCAGTCGAGGATCTGCGAGAACCTTCTAGCAGCCGCCTGAGTCGTTTCCAGCGAATTGAGCAAATGAGACAGCATTTTTGGATCAGGTGGAGCAAGGAGTATGTATCCGAGCTGCAGCAACGTGTGAAATGGTACACGTCCAAAGACTCATTGAAACTCAACTCACTTGTTGTTGTCAAAGAAGACAACCTGCCGCCATTAAAGTGGAGGATGGGAAGAATTGTTGCTCTTCATCCTGGCACGGATAATATCAGCAGGGTTGCAGATATTAAGACTGCCAATGGAGTCATACGAAGAGCCTATTCAAGAATTTGTCCCTTACTGGAAGATTCCTGTTGAAAGGCAGGCTTTCAACGGCCGGGGGTTGAAGCAATTTTAAGCTATTTTAAGTTAATTAAGTAACATAACCAACGTAATGCTCTTTTTTTCTATCAGGCGTCGTTATATATTGTCATTATAGCACAGACGGTGATTTTAAATTTTTCTTAAAAATCCCAGTAAACACCCCTATACGCGCACAATAGGTAAATATGATTAGGTAAGAACTCTAATATAGTTTAAATATTATACATCTATTTCTGATGTATTTTACGTGTCGAAATATACTCGAGACCGACTTCGAAAATATCTGATTACGTATCTATTCTAAATGAAAACCCCCGTTTAGTTATTTTTTTAATATTTTAGTGCCTGGAAGTCGGTTTTTTTAGTTTTTATTTTTCCATTTTTAGTGTAGACGTAATAAGCAGGTAATTTGTAAGAATAAAGTTTTTTTTAATAACATACTCGATTAAGTAGATTTAAAAAAAATGTAATTTATTGTTGATTTCGATAAAATTTAAATGGAACCACCTGGGAAGTTTTTTATACCCTTCGAAACAAAAAACAACCAGATCGGTTCAGGCGTCTTCAAGTAATCAGTGAATATACATAAAAAAAAGATTCCGACGAATTGAGAACCTTCTCCTTCTAGGAAGTCGGTTAAAAATACTAACTTAAACTGGTGCTAGTTGCTAGATGTCGTGCTTATATTTTTTGTTTGTTTAGTGTTATCTATTCAAACGTACCAACCAGTCTTATCGTGTGCGACTATTTAAAAAAAACAAGCTAAAATAGCGGATGGAGCCAATATCAGCTTTCTAAGTAAAAAATGTATGATACGTTTGGCTCAGTTTGTAGTGTCCCTACTTGCTGTGCCAGAGATCGCTGGTTTAAGTCCCGCTGGGGGCATTCATTTGTGTGATGAGCACGAATGTTTGTACTCCAGTCATGGGTGTCTATATTTATATTTATAATATGTGTGTATTTAAAGTTATATATGTGTAGTGCATCAACTATCTAGTATTAATAACACAAGCCCCGTGCTTACCATGGAACTAGATGGCATTGTCTGTTAATAAAAAAAAACTAAAAAAATGTGTTCTTTTCGTATTCTACTCAGCAAACTCTTTTATTTGATATCCATATAATGGGTATGCATGAAAAACTATATAATAAAATAACTATAAAATTTTCTATATCAGGGGCCTTATACGAAAATCGATTCTTAAGGAGTCAACTCTAAAAATTTGAATCCTTCTCGATGATCATATTGATATGATTTCAGCGCGAAGTTGAATTTGATGAAAACCAAGCTTACTTGTGCGTGGTACCAGGAGTAGAAGGTCTTCATTCACGATTCAAAATTCTGTGCGAGCGCCTAAAGTTGGGTGCCTTCGTATTGCAGCCTGGTCTTGTTAGACCTAACGAAACGATTCAAGAAATGGCTGACAGATTTGCAAAGGTTGGTAATTCGTTCAGTTTCGAAGTTCTAGACAAAAGTTTTATTCAATTCATTCTAGCTAATTCAAATTTTTAATATGTAAACTGAATTAGTCAAATCAATATGAAGCATATGAATTACAATGGAAGCTCCAATATTTTTAATTTATTTACAGAACAGGCTTTCTTACTCGAATAAAAGCTTTGATATGGACTAATCGCCAACGCGCAATGTGAAATACACTGAAACCTGTTAAGATCGCTCAATCAAACATTATCAGAATCATAATTTCTTTGTTTGTATTCACTATTTAGCAAATTCTTAACCGTTATTTACAGACTCTTCTCAAAAAGACACAGTTGAAGAATAGATTTTACTTACTGGGTTATGAAAGTGGTGTTATGGTAGCATTGGAAATGGCGGCAATTTTGGAAGATCAAGGTGAAATGTCTTTTAATTTTCTAGTTTATAATATACGTACTTGTAGAATTTGGTTTTCAATGATCATGTTTAATAAATTCTTCAATTACTCAAAAAACTAACCCTTGTTTTTAAGCCTTAGCTTCTTTAAATAAGTAACCATGACCTGTATAGCACATTATAAAATCCCATACAGTAGGATCATCGATATTATTGATTTTAACAGAAATGCGGTCAAGTGCAAGGGTTGTCAAAAAATACCAATTATTATGGGGAATGGTTTCATGTCAAAACGATATAGTATAATCTCGTGACAAGTTACAGTTATACCCGTCAACTGTAAAACTACTTCCCAACTATCATGTAAAAGTAAATATGATAGTCATCCATCTTTCCACTCACACGCCCCATATAAAGCCTTGTCTTCGCTAGACGACTGTATGTTTTTAGACTGTGTCTATAGTAAGCAATATAGTAGATTGTTTAAAAAATTTACTCCCTAATACATATATAAGTTAAAAATAAATATAAGTTATATTTATACTATATTTATAAGTTATCAAATCATTCAGGTATAATTGGCACTGTGTTTTGCATTGGCGGTTCTCCTAATGAAGTGCAAACGGTAATTGAAGAAAAGCTTGAACGTTACAATACTGAAGAAGAACTACAAAATGCCGTTATGCGACATATGTTTAGTTTAATTACTAAAGAAAATACGCTGGATTTAGACAAGGCTCTACAAGAAAGCTTGACGTGGGTAGAAAAGATCTCGCTAACCGCACGCATTTTATATGGCCAAGTTAGGCATTCGAATGAATATACTAAAGAAGTCATAAATGCGGCATATTCAAGAATTGTACAAGCTCGTTGTTATAATGCTAAACCCCGTCAACTTCAGTCTCTTTTAATATCAATCCGGCCTTCATCTAAGCGTGATCGGCAATTGAATAATAACCTACATTCTTTGCAAAACCATTCACTACGCAAGGTAGTCGAGTATCAGTTGGAATCTCCATTTGCTTATGCTGCCTATGACTTGCATTGCAGTGCGATAGTTAATCATCATCTTGATGAAGACATTCTGAAAGCTTTTGATAAAAGAAATTTGTGCAAATCGTACATTACGAACGCTGACTCATTTATATCAAGGAAATAAATAAATCGCCATCGCCGAAGAGAAATACAAACTGATTGATTGATGTCTTTGGATTAAGCTCTATTATTTAATAAATTAAAGCATATCTTCAATGTTTGTTTTTTACAACTTCTCCGACTATACGCATTTTAAGTTTTATAAAAAGACCTGAAAATACCAATTCTTTTATTCCCAGCTTTCTAAAGTCTAAAGAGATTACCACACTCCAGATCTTGAAAGAATTGTAGGTATCACATGTGATAATGTATGTAATAATGTATATTACATTACATAACTCATAATGCATTAAAAATAGTTTTGTAAAATTAAAATGCTGTCTGTGCTCATTAATTTTATATTTAGAGATAAATTCATAATTGTTGTTTGAAACTGTGTTTACTAAAGAATAAGAAGTCTTTCTTAGTGTTTTATCTCATTACTATGGTACAGGGATAATGGATAATCCCTCGAGATTTCTGCATTATACTTCTCATAGTTAACCACAAAAGCATTTCATGTAAGAACTTGGTGTAGCATTTGACACAGCTGTGGAATAGTACAAAACCAATAATAAATAGGCATTAAGTTTATGAAAATATCTAGTATAACAAATATAGCCATAGAAAAAGACAATAAACTGAGCTTTAGCCTCAAAAATGTGAACATCCTGTAGAACATGAAATATAACTAGCTTTAATTTAATTTTCCATTCAGGAATAGAGAAAAAACGATTGTGCAGACAATATTTCTCTCCTTATTGCAGGTCTACATTAATAAACTCGCAGGGTCTCAAGAGAATTTTTTTTGAAAATAATTTGATTAACTAAATCTATGGGTGAAACCAAAGTTACAAGCCAACTTACATCATTATTATTTGATAGATTAGACACTATCAACAAATGAAGCAGTATTACTTTTTTTAAGGCTATAGTTTGTGATTACTGAATAATTGGCCTGTATTCCAGGAATTTCAGGGAGCATTTGATTAGTGTCAACAAATTCAGAGACACTATTTTCAATAATTTCAACAATATTTAAATCGTGCTTATTTAGATTTTCAGCAGATATTTGTATATAAGTAGAGAGTGCTGACGCTTTCTGAAAATTTTTAAAATATTCATAATTCTTATTGAAAATGCTCTTGTGTTTATAAACAAATTTTATTATTATACATACATCGATAGTGTTCGTAGAAAAGTGAGGAACAAATTTTAAAGCTTTTACTCCAAAATTTGTACAGATAGTTGGTAAATCATGAAATCTTATATTTCGCAAGATTATACCACCGCATCTAAAACAAATTTTGTAATATCAATATTAAATAAAATACAAATTATATATGGTATGGTATGGTATGTTCGGGCTGTTTTCCGCAACTCGACGACTATGCGCCTATTTTGCGTGTGTGGGAAATTAACTTCTTGTTACTCTTGCCACCCCAGTTCCTCCAGGAACTTCAGCAACCTCTTCGTCTTGCCGAAAATTTCCGGGAGTGACCCAGGAGTGCCAAGATGTTGAGCCCGGTACGTCGCTACACCTGGACAATATAAGATCACATGTGCAGCCGTTTCATCTGCCCCCATGCACGCCCTGCAAAGTGGACTGTCAGTTATACCTATATTAAATAGATGTTTATTATATGGTCCGTGGCCGGTTAAGGCCGCGGTTATTTGCCTGAGTTGAGGTCTGTTAAGTTTGATGATACGGTTCGATATTTTGGCATCAATGTTTGGAAGCGATTCTTTCGCCTGTCTACAGTCTGCAACTTCACGCCATACATTATTGTGTTGGCGTTTAGTTCGTTGTCGGATTTGGCCTTTGAGCCAGCAAGAAGGTAACGAGACGATGGGCTCTGGTCCTATCGCCGTCATGTCCGAACCCCTTCTTGCTAGCTCATCTGCCTTATCGTTCCCCCACGAGTTACTGTGGCCTTTGATCCATTGTAAGGTGATCTCATTCCGGTCACTTACCTGTGTCAAGGCCTTATGACATTCATAGATCATACCTGATGTGGTAGAATTACTATTTAATGCCTGTAGTGCTGACATGCTGTCTGATAATATGCGGATGGAGCAGTCTTCCACCTTCTTTGTCGCAATTGTTCTGGCTGCCTCAAGGATACCTAGACTTTCAGCTTGAAACACCGTGTTGTAGGTACCTAGAGGTATTGAGGTTTTAATGTTTAGATCATCGGAGAAAATGCCACAGCCAGTCCCCGATTTGGTTTTCGAGCCGTCGGTGTAGATTCTTAGGTCCTTACTGTCGCGACCTTCATATGTATCTTCCTCCAGCTGTATTTTATATTTTTTGTCAAAAATGTATTTTATTTGTATTCCGTCATTGGGTGCTCCCATAAGAGGAATGTCTTTGGCTACGTCCATTAGGATTTTTGTATGTGGAGTGCCTGTTTTCCTTAGCAGTTTTTGACCATCTAGTCTTATCGCGGTAGACGCAGCCTCTTGTTGTATAAACAAGTGAAGCGGTAAAAGGTTTAGCATGGCTTCGAGAGCTGCGGTTGGTGTTGTTCTCATGCAGCCCGTCACTGCCATGCACACCAGCCTTTGCCAGCTTTGTAGCTTGGTTTGTGCTGTGGTCAAAAGTGTTCTACGCCACTACACTAAGGCACCATAGCTGATCATAGGTCGTATTACCGATGTATATAGCCATAGAGTTATTTTGGGATTAAGGCCCCATTTTTTACCTATCATCCTTCGGCATTGCCAGAAGGTGATGCTGGCTTTGTTTAGTAAATTGTCTAGGTGTTTAGACCAATTTAGTTTGCTATCTAAGGTAATTCTAAGGTATTTTACCTCTGTGGTTAATGTTAAGGTGGAGTTAAAGAGTTTCGGCAGGGTGTAGCTTCCTAGAGCTCTTTTGTTTGTGAACATTATTAGTTCTGTTTTGCTTGGGTTAACACTCAGATTATAGTCATAACACCATTTTTCGACTATATTTAGGGCTGTCTGAGTTAATTCACAGACTGTACTTGTGAATTTGCCCGTTACGAGGATGGCTAGGTCATCTGCATAGCCTATCGTATAATATCTGTTGTTGTTGAGCAGGGTTATTAGGTCGTTGACTACTAGGTTCCATAAGAGGGGTGAGAGTACTCCTCCTTGAGGACATCCTTTGGCCACGATGGCACCTTGTTTGTTGCTGTTACCTAGCCTGACCACTCTATTCGCTAGCATGTATTGGATCCAGTCAGTTATTACTGGATTTACCTTATGTCTACTGAGTGCGGCTTTGATACTAGTGAAGTTGGTTTTGTCAAAAGCACCTTCAATGTCAATGAAGGTGCCTAGACAAATGTCTTTGGTATCTAGTGCCTCTTCGATTTTGTATACTACTGCATGAAGCGCTGATTCCGTTGATTTGCCTGAACTATAGGCATGTTGATTCCTGTGTAAGGGTGTTTTAGCTAAAGAGTTATCTCTCAGGTGTCTATCACATAATCTTTCCATAGTCTTAAGTAAGAAAGATGTGAGACTGATTGGTCTGTAGGATTTTGCATCCGAGTAATCTGTTCTACCTGGTTTCGGTATGAAGATTACTTTAACTTCTCTCCAGGTTTTAGGCACGTAGCCATACGCCAAACATGCCTGGTATATTTTGTTAAGTGTGTGGTGCAGTCTCGGGCCTCCCCATTGTATAAAGGCAGGGTAGATTCCATCTAGACCCGGCGCCTTGAATGGTTGGAAGCTTTTGATGGCCCACGCTATTTTCTTGGTGTTTATGACCTCTGACGCAACTTGCCAGGAGGTGTCTGTTGCATTGTGGTTTACGTCTAACCACTTGTGTTCATTAACCATTGAGCAGTCGGGAAAATGCGTCTGCAGAAGCACTTGGTGTGATTCTTCTAATGATTTGGTATAAGTGTTATCTGGTTTCCTTAGTGAACCCAGTTCTCGTTGTGATTGTCCGGTGAGGATTTTCCGGGTTCTGTTAGCCTGTATAAACGATTCTATGGAATCACAGTATTTCCGCCATGCACGGTTCCTCCAATATCTTATACGTTTTTTGTACATGGCCTTAACGTTTTTGTACTGGTCCCAATCTTGATCGTTATATGTATTCATAGCCCTGTTGAAGGCTTTCCTAACCTTGTTTCTAACGCGTTACAAATTATATAAAAATCGAATGTAAAATAAACAATCGTACCCATAAATATATCATACCTTGTGTAATCAAGAACATCAAATATCCTCGCAGGAGTAACTTTTATTCCATCTATTTCGTACATTTCATCAAAATGCTTATTTACGTCAATTATTATTTTTCTTACAAAGTGTGGCTGAGAAACCGTTTCATGAATTCTTCTGAGCGCATTTAATTGGAGCATACTGTCAATCATGGCCACCCAATTGTCTTCCCATTTTATATTAGCTTCAGACAATGACAAGCTGGAATTGTAAATACTACGAAATACGCTCCTGTAGTTAAATATAAAATTAATAAAAAAGTTGTTGCACAATATTTTAAAATATTCCTTCAATTTGCTGTTACTTACGAGTAATTATAATCCCTTATAGAAAAGAGTTTATAAATATCATCTGATTTACGTTGCATTTCTTCCTTACAATTTAAATTAAGTTTGTCTTGTTTGTCTTCGTCTTTTTTTTTCCACTTATATAACCTGTTACGATTTTAGTACTTTCATCTAATACCTAAATTATAAGAAAATTATAGATCATTAATATACTAAGTTACTTAGAAGAACCATAACACATGTAAATCAATTGAATGATATTTAAACCATTAGACAAGCTTACTTCAAAACGGCCATTTCCTCTATGTAAAGCTATATTTAAACGCAAGTTTCGCTGTTTATGAAGAATTGGTTGTGTAAAAAATGTATATCAGTAAATTGGACTGACAGCTGTTTCTTTTCTACTCCTAAAATCATTGCCAATGTGTTCCAAACTCCTACGAGTGCTCCAGAAAATGGATACAATATCTTTTCTGAAATTAAAAATTAATATTATTATTTAGGGACTTCAAATTATGATATTTAAAAAGCGACTATAAGTTTTATATTATCACCTCTTATGACGTGGCCTTTTAAATATGCGTGATCGTCATCATATGTAGATATCACAAATTTTGTCGCGGCAGCTTTTCTATTACACGCTGACGCATACAAAGGTAAAGCCCTGTAATATTTATTCTGCTTATTGTATTAATCCTCTATTAACCATTTTCCGAAAATCTTATTGAAATAGTCACTATTATCGATAAAGAGGCCGAACCTATGGTTTTTTGGATTTTTTGTCTGGCTCTCTATTTGTCTCTGTCTGTCTATCTGTCTGGAAACACATCACGAGAAAGCCACTGGACAGATTTTGATGATATTTGTTATGATAATAGCGGGTTATTCGGGTCAAAATAATTATAAGATACTTTTTACTGCGGGAAAATATCTCTGAAAAATCTATACTAAACGTTAAAATATAACTAGGGACGAACCTAAGTAAATTGTTCATAACAAAGTGAAAAATAACAATTTTTAATTTTTTTCAACGGGGATCTATTCTAAAGCCTTTGAAAGAAAGGAAAAAATCTCAAATTTGTAGTTTAACAATTTTCACACTTGCAATGTTCATGTTCAAGCACAAAATAATTATTAATTCACAATTGCATAACTAATTGAAAAACTGTGTTAAAAATATGTTTCTGGCGAATTATTGTTCATTTATCTATCCAGTAAGCTACAAAATTTTTCAATTACTAAATTTTATATTTAATATGTTAAAATATTTTTTATTGATAAAGTGTCTGAAGTAGGCGTGGATTGCGCAAGCCAGAGAATACGTTTAGGCCGTATTTTCATCCCTCTGGAAAGTCATAAATATTGGTAAAAAAGTTTTGGTAGTTAAAAAAGTTTTTAATAAATTTCTTCCTCTTTTTGTATTTTTTTGTTAGATTTTAAAACTTCAATTAGTTTTTGAGATATTTGCAAAAAACGAAACCCCTTTTTTATTTAAAGTTAATTGTTTATAACTTTTGCAATTGTTGCAAGCGGAACTTGATTTTTTTCAAAAATAATTTACAAGCCATTCCAAATCGAACGACACCTCGTTCATGTTTTTCCGAGACTGCTGAAAAAAATGACCTAAAAGGCACTTGTTGATTGTAGACTAGAATGATTATTTACTTGGTTCAGAAATCCTTAAATGTAATAAAATAGTTTCAGGATGAGATATAGTCTATAGCCTTCCGCAATAAACGGACTGTCTAATATAAAAAGAATTTTTCAAATCGGATAAGTAGTTCCTGAGATTAGCAAATTACGTTTATGTCAGCTGGAGGACTCAAAAAACTAAAGTCGTTACTAATACTAAATAATTAAAATAACTTTAAAATTGAAATATTACATATGTAATATTTCTATTTAAAAGTTATTTTAATTATTTAGTAGTTTAGATAAACTTAATTTTATGAAACAATAGTGATCGATATTAAAGTCACATATTAAATCCAAATTACTTATTATAATCGGAATATATAAGATACTGGAATGATGATGCAGTCTTCATATATATTATTACACGCATAGCGGTAAAGGTGACGTAACGGTGACTCGTGAGCGTGCGCGACGTCAGCAGATCTCCTCTAGGCAACGCATGTGACATACATAAGACGCTGAGATGATAATGCAGAGTCTTAATTTGGGGACACACATATAGCGGCGACTTGTACTATAATATGTTTTTAAAGATTTACTAGCGCCTTACACTTGCTATGCTCAAGTTTGTTCCTAAACGGTGAGGTAACATTAGCCTAAGTGCCAGATCATAGTCTATCTGTATACAAAATTCCATTCAAATCTAGGTGTTTCAGCATGAAGGAGTAACAAAGACACAGACAAACTTTCGCATTACTATAATAGTCCAATTAACGTAAATACATAGTGTTATAGTTCACTAAAGTTCCAATACCATTTTCTAGTTGCCAAGAAAAAAAAATTAGTCGTTTTGGTAGAAAATATAACCCTAGTAGAAGTCCTAATAATTCAGAAGTCCTGGAAGTCCTTGTAATCCTTACCATTTTTCCTGATGAACCCATTCTACTAGATGCGATAGTGGTTGAGTTCCTGTAGATACTGGAAATTCTATTTTAGGATAGAGTGCTCGAATTTTTGGGTTAAAACCATCCAAATAGAGTCTGTGAAAGTATTTTTGTATTTAGTGAATTTAAAACACGGTTGATTTAATCGATAATATTGTGTTTTAAATAAAACTTTCTATTCGGATTATTTCGCGGATTTATTATGATTTTTGGTTCCCAACGTTTCGAATGCTTTACAGCAATCATGGTCACGGGAGAGACTAAGGTTATAGACGTCTCAAACACATATACTTGTTACAGGCAGTGCCAACCCACTATTTAACAAATATGATTTCAAAAATTCAAAAATGGCACTAAAGTACCTTACAATATTTGTTGATTTTTATTTTAAACATTTTAAAAAATTTAATAAATATTATAATAAATATAGCAATATTATTTATTTAATTTTAGCAGTTATTATCATAAATATTACAATTTTTTTAAAAAATCGGCCAAAAGTTAGTTATTAAAAATATATTTACTATACATATTTTTTATATATTTATACATTTATTATAGATTTTTAATACATTTATAATATATTTTTTATACATTTTGACATTTATTTCTTTAATATATTTTTTTCATGGGGGTATACTCACGATAAAATAGTGAAGGCATTATTACTTCGATTTTGTCTTTTCAGATTATCAGTATGCATGAATCTGTTTGTATCATCTGCAATAAGGCAGATGATAAGCAAGTGTATGAAATAAAAAAGGTTTTTTGTTTTTTGCATTTTCTCAGAAGATTTACTATGGTAATATATATTTTTTTTTTCACCATCGGAAAGTAAAGATTTCAACGAACAGAAAACATACTAACTTTTTGAAAAAAGCTGATATTTTGACGGGTGAATTTTCGATTGAAAATTAGGGTGCTTTTTCGATATTAATTCAAAATAAGGTGAAAAAATAAATATTTTTAATCAAATAAATTACAGCGTATTTGGGACATAAAAAGGTTTGTTTTCACCCAATTTCGTTAAAAAATTTTTTTTGTAAAAGATAAAAATAAAAAACCAAAAACTTGGTTTTTTGATTTTTTCACATAAATTTTGAGGTTATGTGAAAAAAGTGTAAATACAAAAATTTTAGATCTTTTTATTACCTACAACTTTGCCATATGACTTTTTTCGATAGGACTTTTAGTTTTGCCGGAAATCGAGAAAAACCGTTTTTTACCCTTAAAAACGGACCCCCATCCCCTTCCCGACCTCAGATCGCCCGTAAATTATTTTTCCTTTCATTTTTATAATATTCCCCTCCTTTTCTAATGGGTTGCATCCTACTATTATTTTTTTTGGTTTTAAAAATTATCGACCCTGGTCTAATAAGGAAACTCGATAGAACTCGATAGGTAAGTACTTCTGTAGGAAGTAGTGATTTAGAAACTAAAAATTCTTTAGATTTTTTTTTAAAACATACGTCGTACACGATTTAAGTGCAAAAATGTATGTGATACAAAAGACGAAGGCAACGTACATACATAATATCTATGCTCTCTAAAAAGTTTAAAATAAAAAGCAAAATTAAAAATTTTGAAAAAACCCACCACGGTTAAAAAGTAATTGAAAAGGATAAAATCATTTAAAAAACCTCGACTTAAAAAATAAATGTAACGCGAGATAAACTCAAGCATATCCATTGGGGGTTACCATCACTATTTTAAATTTCATCGTAAATATAAATAAGTATCATTATCAAATTCTAAAGGTCCCCACTGTAGAGGCACGGCCTAGGCCTACCCATTAAGGGTGTAAGTATAGCGCTAAAAAATCTCAAATTATTCACGTTACTATAAAACTGCAAAACCAGTTCATAATGGCATCCCAGAGATAACCAATATCCAGAGATAACCCCATACAACCTCGTCAACTCACAAACTTTACATCTTTACAATATTAGTATAGATTACACTCGGAATTAAAGAAAAGGCGAAAGAAACTTCGTTCATGACGCGGTCCCCCGACCGCTTATATATCATTTTTTTACATGCATTTGCAGGTCGAAAACTTGTTATAAAACTAAAAGACAGGTTGTAAAGAACATACATTGAAGATAATACGCTTTAATTTATTAAATAACAGAGCTTAATTAAAATTCCAAATACATAAATTGATCAATTTGTATTTCTATTCGGCGTTGTTTAATCTACTTCAAATGATATATTGAGTCAGCATTTGTAATGTACGATTCGCACAAATTTCTTTTATCAAAGGCTTCCAGAATGTCTTTATCAAGATGATGATTAATTATCGCACTGCAACGTAAGTCATAGGCAGCATAAGCGAATGGAGATTCCAACTGATATTGGACTACTTTACGTAGGGAATGATTTTGCAAAGAAGGTAGGTTATTATTCAAATGCCGATCACGGGTCGATGAAGGCCGGATTGATATTAAAAGAGACTGAAGTTGACGGGGTTCAGCATTATAACGACGAGCTTGTACAATTCTTGCATATGCTGCATTGATGAGTTCTTTTGTATATTCATTTGAGTGCATAACTTGGCCATATAAAATGTGTCCGGCTAGCGACAACTTTTCTGCCCACGTAGAGCATTTTTGTAGAGCCTTGTCTAAATCCAGTATATTCTCTTTAGTAACTAAACTACACATATGTCGTATAACGGCATTTTGTAATTCTTCCTCAGTATTGTAGTTTTCAAGCTTTTCTTCAATTACCGCTTGCACTTCATTAGGAGCGCCACCAATGCAGAACACAGTGCCCGTTATACCTGAATGATTAATTAATAAGTTATAAATATAATCTAAATATAATTGGTGTGGAAGTAGAGACTTTTTAAACACTCTACTATAATGTTTACTATAGTTACAGTCTACTAACCCATACAGTCGTCTAGCGAAGGCAGGGCATTGTATAGGGCGTGCTAGTTGATAGGCGGAAGAATGTCATATTTACTTTTACGTGATAGTTGGGAAGTGGCTTTAGGGTTGACGGACATAGCTGTTACTTGCGACGAGATTATTATTACTACAGCGATTTAACATCAAAACCGTTCGCCGTTTTTTTTTGACAACCCTTACATTTGACAGCATTTCTATTAAAATTAATAAAATCAATGCGATCCTTCTGTATACATTTTATACTGTGATGTGGTGTGGTGTATGTGCTGTGGCCATGGTTACTTATTAAAAGAAACTCAGGTTGATAAAAACGATTTTTTGATGGGAAACATCTATTGGCGCGCCTTGGCAGTAAAACCGACTCGTACGGCGTGATGGTAAACGGCATGAAGCAGTCATACAAACATGCCGCTTCTACGCCACCGCTCGTGTGTTTGCGCGTGCGTATACTATATATGCTCCATTGTAAAACAGTCTCTGTTAAAAATACTTCGGCCAAATAAGAGGAACACAATAAAAGGTACTTAAGTTATTTGAAATATTACCCTTCTTATATATGACGTGAAACTATTTGACCCTTTTTAACCTTTTAATAGAAATTTTTTATTTTTTTATTTTTGCAATCTGTGCTTACAAGTGTTTTTGATAACGAAGTTCATTTACGCAGTCAAGTGGGGTCTTAGCTAATTTTGTTTGTTTGTTTGTTTGTTTGTTTGTTTGTTTGTTTGTTTGGAGAGTTAACATAGTATTGTATACGAATAAGTATTAAGAATAAGCAATTGAAGTCACCAGGGCTGTAACAATGATTGAATGACTCCTTCATCAGACCAATTTTGATTTGACGAGAGAACTCTAATCTTGTTACACGATGACTTGCTTCAAGTTTCAGCGCTATCGCAGGTACTTTAAAACAACTTCATTCAACCTTCTTCTCACTGTTCGTTCACTAACATGTACGTTATGCACTTCTTCCAAGTCATTACGAGTTTGAACAGCCGTTTGACAACGATTTCTCAAAATTTGCACCTTTATAAAATGATCGTCTATGGAACTAGTTGCCCGATTTCTGCATTGTCCTCGCCTGCGCACGTAAAATCCTATCTATCAGTATCGTTGCACATTGCAGCAATTCACCGATACTAATACACCCAACGTTCGACTGACAGAACGATAGGTGTGACCTTCCTCAATCATTTGACTGTGTAAACAAACTTTGTTATAAAAAACTAAACTAACTTAAAAACAAAAAACACTTCTAAGCGCAGATTGTAAAAAAACACTTACGAGGGTATAATTTCTGTTAATAAGTTAAAAAAGGTCAAGAAATTGTATAATGCTACATCTAAAAAGGGTAATATTTCAAATAACTGAAGCACCTGTCAAATTGCCTACAGCTTTTTAATAAAATGGATCTTTTTTTGTGATATTCTAATTTTGCGGGTGTGTGCATTTATGAATATATAAATGTGTATATCTCCATATTTCGTTATAAGTTTTTATTAATTATGAATTCTAATATTAACATAGATGTTTCACATCTGCTGCGCGTGTCATGACGGCCAAATGTTTTATGCTTTTTTAAGTATTTGTTTTTTGTGGGTAGGCTGTTTTTAACAACTATATAATACCTTTGAGACATCTAATACCTCAGTCTCTCCCGTGACCTTGATTGCTGTAAAGCATTCGAAACGTTGGGAACCAAAAATCAAAATGAATTTGCGAAAAAAATCCGAAAAATAGTTTTATTTAAAATACCAAGTATTCGCGTAAATCTAAGAAAGTATTAATTACATATTTTTTATAAACACGATCATTAAAAACCAAATATTAAATGTTTGTATATTATAAAATAAACAATTAAAAGTGTACTTTTGCTAAGCAATGTTCTCCAAAATAGAAGATGTTTTACCTTGATCTTCCAAAATTGCCGCCATTTCCAATGCCACAATGACACCACTTTCATAACCTAGTAAGTAAAATCTATTCTTCAACAGTCTCTTTTTAAACAGGATCTGAAAATAACGGTTAAGAATTTGGTAAATAGTAAATACCAACAAAGACATTATGATTCTGGTGTATATATAATTTTATCGTGGTAAGCGGATTAGCCCTTATCAAAGCCTTTTATTCAAGAATATAAATCTCTACTCTAAATAAATTATAAATATTAATGCTTGCATTGTCATTCATATGCTGCATATCGATTGGACTAATTCAGTCTACATACATATCAAATCAAATTATACTTTATTCAAATAGACTTTTACAACCCCTTTTGAATCGTCAATTTTACATTTTAAATTAAAATTAAATTTCAGTGTAGTCAGTCCGTTAGGAAGCTACCACCGGCTCGGAATACAGTTTTCTGCTGAGAAGAACCGGCGAGAAACTCAAGAGTTGCTCTCTTAAAATAATAATTGTGTACAATATTGTAATACAATAATTATCTATTTATCCTACGTGAGACCCAACCAGACATTAGTTCCACACATTGATATTTACGAAGTATTCTGTGATACTATAATAAGCCTTATTCAATAATACATTTTTCAGTAATTCTATTATACATGCGTACACTTTGCCACATAAACAATCTATTCACTTTTTGAAGGTGAAAGCTAGGCGTAACCAGTTTATTCTTATTTCTAGCGTTTATTTCGTACCTACCACTGTGTCTTTAATAACAATAAATGTTTTGTCGGACATACATAATATTACGATATATTATTATATAGTGCGATGCAACTGTAAGTACACCAATTTCCTTAATCCTTATCAAAAGTTCAATTAACAAGAATGAATTGACTAAAACTTTAATGCTTAAAACTTCGGAACTAAATAAGTTACTAACCTTTACAAATCTGTCAGCCATTTCTTGAATGGTTTCGTTAGGTCTAACAAGACCAGGCTCCAATACGAAGGCACCCAACTTAAGGCGCTCGCACAGAATTTTGAAACGCGAATGAAGACCTTCTACTCCTGGTACCACGTACAAGTACGTTTGATTTACATTACATATATCAAATTCATCTTCGCGCTGAAATAATATATGATAATAAAGTAGTCGCTCTCGACAAGACTGGTTGGTACGTATGAATAGATGATAGTAAGCAAACCAGCAGTTTAAGTTATTATTTTAGGATGCACTTAAGTAATGAACTAAAATTACTCTCATGCCCATAGTTACATTTTTTTTAATAGGTAAAGTAGGTCATGGGGACTACCGACAGAAGTGACAACTTATAACTTTGGAATAGCTGTGTTTTTTTTTATTTTTAAATTAATTATAGTATGAATAGTTAAAATTGCATAATTTGTAAATTGAAAGTATTATTAATCTGGTTTTCGTACCCATTGGCACTACAAGAAATAATTAATTATTTACATTTTGATACAGTTTATTCATTAATTAAAACTTTTGATGCTGCGCGTCACTATTCTGGGCCAGATTGCGTCGACAGTCGACACGTCACATGTCACACGTATACCAATGTTAAAGACGCGAATCCATAATTTTTTTTCCCTATGTAAAATCAGTCAACGCGGCTAATGAAGTTTTCACTATAACAACCTAACAATTATAAATAAGTATTTAAAGTTCATTTTTGATGATAGTTGTACTTATATAACGACCTCTGAAAATATCTTGGAATCGAGCGCTTTCCCATATTGCTGATATATTTTGTTTTCTTAGGAATCCTCTATGTATAAATATTTCTCTTTCGCCATATTTTTGGAAAATACATATAGAATCAAGGTGGTGTTATTAAGAGTTCTGTCCTATTAGATTTTGATGATTTCTTTCTTATTTTACTATGTACAAACATTATTGTTTTTATTTTTACCAAGGTATGGTCTTGATATATACACTTTTACAATATATATGCAAACATGGGTACTGTAGTGTTGAGGGTAATTTCGATATGTATTCGTGTTAGTCAAGAGTTGAATAAAGGCGTTCACCCGAGAAACTGTCTTATTGCGCAGGTACAAAGCCCATCTTTTGATTCAGTAGACATAGGGGGTTTGTGAGTTATAATTTCGAACACATGTGAACATTTTTACTTACCATCGATGAACTGTTTATCAGTGTCGGTAAGAACACTATTTCGGTTGTGGCAAATGGCTCATGATTATCTATATTTGACCAGAACGTGTCGAATCCATCAGTTTCTTTATACTCTTTTTCTGTAATCGTATCTCCCAATTGACGAAGTCTAATAAAACATATAAGGTAAATGTAGTAAAATGGGCAATATGATAATGTAAATATTGAAAATAGTAATCATCCTGCATTCGAAAATCTTATTTAAAATCAATTAGTATAATATTATAGTCTTTATAATCATCCATATTGCCTAAGCCAAAGGTTGCCTAAAAGAAATTACTAACTGGCTATAATACCGCCTCTTGTGCAAGTTCTTTCAGATAAGTACTTAGTTTAAAGTTTGGATATTTTGGGGTATTTTTTGTCAAAGTTACATGGATAACCTCAAAAATGAACTATATAATGATATTATAATGTATTTACATAATATGTTTGTATGTAAAAAATATAAAAAACTTTTCAATGTGATTTGATTGTTCAAAAGACGAGTTTAATTTATACAAAATACTCATATTAATACATATTATATACATATGTATTATGTAGGTATATATTTAATAGCTTATAAAATACTTACGATTTAATAGTTAAGACTGGTAAGCTATTTTCGTCTAAGAATTTGTGATACGTATTATGCAAATAAGACCTAAATATTTCTAACTTAGCAGGCTCAATATCCAAATCTGCGATAATAGTACTTTCTGGTATATCATCTGGTATATTTATGCCTGTGAAGATACATTAACACAATTATAAAAATCAACCAATTCAAATATCGTCTGAAAATTATAATAACTTTTTTGGTATAAAACGTTATTAAAGGTTCTAACCTGCTTTTGAACTTAATTCATGTACCAAGGACACAGAAGAAGTTTTTTTTAAGGAATGTATAAGTATATCACGTTGTTTCAGGCAAATTGCTTTTTCAATGGCATCAATGGCATTTACTGCTAAAATAGCTCCATCATATTCACTTTCATTAGTCTGTAAAAAAATTGATGACTTTATAACAACACTGCACTAAACAATGACATAATAATTAAAATTGACCGTCTTAGATTTACGCAAATATCTGACATCCATACTATTATTATAAATGTGAAAGTGTGTCTGTTTGTTTGTTTCTTTGTTTGTTTGCTTGTGTTTTTTTCACGTCGAAACGGCTGTGCGGATTGGCGTGATTTTTTGTGTGGAGATAGTTGAAGGGCTGGAGAGTGACATGGACAACTTTTTACCGCGGGAGATTATCTCTTTCCCACGGGAAAATACGTAATAATACAATACAAGAAAATATTTATGATCATAATCACTTAAAACTTGGTTTTAATGCTCTTCAATACAATTAAATAAATACGTGTTTTAACATTTTTTAAAATTCATCACATAAGGGGGTTAAATAGGGGGTGGAAGTTTGTATGAAACCTACCTTTTTAGAGATTTTTTTGTAGTTTTAGCGCGAGCGAAGCCGTGGGTTCTGTTAATTTTAAATGAAACTTTTTTTGTCGGATTTTTCGCTGATTTATTTTGATTTCTGATTCCCGACGTTTCGAATGCTTGAAAACAATCATGGTCACGGGAGAGACCTTTTTTTCGGTCAGGAAAAACCCTGTTCCCGGGTAACCGCTCGCCAATGGAGGAAGCGAGACGGGTTATGTGGGGCTCCTGCTGCGCAAAGATGAAAAGCGCGCGGCAGCCTACCCACTAAAAAACCTGACAAAGACACCTCCTTCGCCTTAAGGCCGGGGCCACAGGTACCAAAAAGACTCTTCCGTGACCCCGACGGTGAATGCCTGTTAAGGCCCGTCACAATGTTAGGGTCTGAGATTTTCGACCACCCCTGACGGTCTCCTCGGCCAGACTATTGGACGGCCAATCTCCCCAAGTCAACCGCCCTCTGGCACTCTCACCGCCCACCGAAGTAGGCCACCTACATCCGGCTGCAGAGGATAGGGAGAGCGGCAACGACACACCGACACTCTTCCGCGGATGGCAGGGAGAACGACGCACCGTAATACCGGCATCCTCTCCCGCCGCGGCCCCTTCCCCACCGGTCGCAAACCTGTCACCACAGTCCCGCAACCGGCACTCCCCGATCCGATCGCGGGACCGACAAAGCAGTCCCACCACCGGTGGCCGCAACGTTTTCGGCCGAACCTTTTGGCTCAAGGTCTCGACGAGCGGCCCCACCGAGCCATTTGGTCTGCGCTGGATTTCTCCGGTACCACCTGCCCCTCTAAGCGGGTGGCATTCCCCTATCCGCCACCTGGGGATGCACCCGGTAGGAGTTGGCTTGTCCCCCGGGGTCACGAGAGAGACCATAAGATAAAAGTAGTTTTACTTAAAATGTAGCTATTACATAGGTAAGGATAATTATGGTGTATTTACCTTATGTACTATTTTCAAAGCAGGCAGCTTAATCCAGGTTAATAATTGATTATCAGCTTTAGATAAGACTGTTCTTTCAAAATCATCTTTTCCGTCGGTAATAATAGCAAAATATCTATAATAAAATAATGAAATTGTTAAAATGTTATCTCTTTTATCTAAATTCATTAAAATAATAATACTTACTTTAAATTTGAGCATAATCTTTGCGATATTAGTTTGGTCTGTTCCAACATTTCGTAACTATTTTCACTTATTGCGTTTGAAGAAACTATGTAATATATTCCCTCAATACCCGCTAACGAGTTATCTTCAGCTGGTAAATTAATAATGTTATTTGGACTAAATATATTTCCAGGAATTACTTGTACTTGTACTCCTTGTTTGGCCCAAGTTCTAGAAAATTCGTTTTCGTAATTAATTGCAATATTAAATAATAAATTATATAATTTATTATTGTAAATAATTATGTCAGTTACCGTAATTTTTGGGACAGACAATTTGATGATCCAGTCGAAGAAACTAATATTATCTTTCTAGCCCCACGGTCCACTAGTCTGTCGACTAATTTTAATGCCAGCAATTCGTTCTCTGATATTACCAACTGTCGTAGTTGAGTAGAACAAGCTATTCTAAAAAAATAGTAAATAATTAGTATTATCGCTTTTACGTTTTATAAGTAATATGACTGATGAATAAAAAGAATTTTACTTTGTCTGAGCATAAGATAGATCCTTTTGTAAGTCGAGTAGTACACGTCCACGATGACGGCTTCTAGCTTGAAGACTATATGCACGTGTTACATTTTGTGGGGAATACGTCACACGAGACAGTGGCCTGACGTATCCACGAGCAATACCCTCGGTGAGCATTAATTGCAACTTCTATAAAATTAATTTGACGTATTAAGTGACAATGTTCGATTCCTGCTTTCTGCTAAATTCACATCTTCAGGCTAGGTTATAGACGTAAAATAGATGAAACTGCCAACTTCATCATATTTATATCATTTATTTAATCCTTTATTACACCAACAAAATACAATTTTAAAAGAACAATAATGTGCAAAAATTTATTTCGGTGTAAGAGCGGCCTTATCACTTCAAGTGATCTCTTCCAGGTAAGGTACATATATCAGAAAGAAACTAGTAAGATTGCATGAATGGTTGGTGCAAAGAAGTCAGTCTATCTATAATTTAGCTACTTAAAAGGTACCTGGTACATACTATAAATAGGAAAGTTGCATGTTTTTAATATTTCTTTAAAGTTTACTGAAAAATGTTAAGATTTTTTAACATTTGATTTTTCATGTAATGTTACAATTAAAAGTGTTTTTTTAATGGAAATTCAAACGGCAATGACGTCATTATATCGTTTTAGTAACGCCACCGCATGGCGAAATGATAAAACACATGTTTACGTTGTCAAAATCAAAAAAAATGTCATTGCATAATACAAGTTTTATTCGTTTTGAAATTATTTAATTGACGTAGAAAAATTGCTATGATGATGGTGATGACCATGTACACATGTACATGGTGACCCGAATATAAAAAATACAAAAGTATTGACTCACAGCCTCATATAATGACGTCACAACAAATCACAAGTCGTTTTATTTCGTTCAAAAATTTAACATTTTTTTATTAATAATTACTAAAAATTGGAATATTTAATAACAAAAAATATTTAAATATATTTTAAATATATTATTCTTTCATTTGTATATAAATTTGTGGCAAAAAAAGTTAATACAACTTCTCTATTATACACAAACTAACTTACAAACTGTGTAACTGAAAACCATTGTAAATTACAGTTACAAAGTAATTTTCTTGAATTTATTTTAACTATAAGTTAATATGAACAATTTTTAATTATTATTTCATATCAAGAAAATATTTTCTTTACTTGTGCCTGTAAGTCCTCTTCTTCATCTCCCAACATTGACAATAAGTTCATGGTGGAGTAAGATATTCCTTTTGCCAAATATTTCATACTGAGGTCATAATTTTCTTTATTCAATAATAAGGTTGTATCAATTACAGTACCTGATAGTCTGCAACACTGAATCGTAGTCTGAAATTATTTTGAAAATGAATCGTATAAGTATATCAGTCAATACTCTAGTAATGTGGCAATAAAATATGTTCCACATATTATAAATAGGTAAAGAGAAAACAGTTCAGTGCCCTTTTCAACCGACTTCCTCAATAAGGAGGATGTTCTCAATTTGACTGTATGTTTTAGATGAAGTCGGTGCCAGCCGATACAAAGCAAAGCACACCGACTTCGAAAATATTTGATTAGGTATGTATAGTAAATGAAAACTACCAATCAGTTATTTTTTACTTTTTAGTGCTTTTTGAAGACGGTTTTTATTTTTTTGTTCCCTGTGTTTGCTAAACAGTTGTTTTTGCTTACTATCTATTGAGATGAATAAAAAGTTTAGAAAACTGCTATTTTGCTTTACAAATAAGTTAATTCTATTCATCTATATTTTCCTCAAATTTTCAATGATAATTATGATCGAATTTCGACCACTGGGCTAAAACTAGTATGTTTATATAATGAGGGTTATAAAAAAAAGATAAGTAGTCGCCACTGCTTTTACAAGTATTAAAAAAATTCAATCATTTTGCTCATTTACTAAATTACAATTATTTGCAAAGCAACTTTAAATAAAAACAGTAAGTGTTATGGTAAATTGTATAAAATTATTATGGTAAATATTAGAGTGGAGCGAAAAAAATTTTTTTTGCTTTTATTTCTTAGCTTGGAGGTAGAATTTGTAGCTTATAAAAAAAAACATTTTCAAAATAAAAAACAGTTTTATTACTCAACATTTTGAGGTGGCCCACTGATTTTTAAAATAATTAATAAAAAAATTCGACTGGTCATCTTTGAAAACATTCAAGAATTGACGAATATAGTCATTTCTATTCAACTTTCACTGTAATATTGCAATTATTGCAATTTTAAGAAAAGTTGAAAAAATGTTAGTTACTTTTTTGTACTACAGTGAAAATTAAGTAGAAAATGACTATATTCGTTAATTCTTAAATGCTTTCAAAGATGATCACGCGAAAAATAAATCATTCAAACCAAAAATTTTAATTCATTATTTATTTTAAAAATCAGTGGCCATCTCAAAATATTAAGCAATTTTTTTTATTTCAATTTTTTTTATAAGCTGCAAATTCACCCTAGTGAAAATATTATACCTGCAAGCATCAAACAAATTCATTCAATAGTTATGAAAAACAGATATTATCCAAACATCTTTATTAGAAAAACTTTCTTTATATTATAAGTACTAGTGCTCTTAATATATATTAGAGATATACTTACATTTTTAAGGGCATATTTAACACAACTTATGACTAAATCACAACCATCACCCTTTGTAGCGTGTAGCACCATATCTCGGAAACTTATATCGCGTGAATGTCCAATGTAACTTTCTGAAATACGAATCATTGATTGTTTTTAGAGAATTTTCCTATTTTCAAAAAATTATTTTGAAGAGCATCAATGACCAATCATACCTTTGAGCTCTGGGAAGAGTCTTCGTAGGAATCTCTTTTTCTTGATATCGCTCACAGTAGTAAAAACTTTGCAGCCATATGCCAAAGCAATCGATATAACTGCCTGGCCAAGAGCCCCAGCACCTCCATGTACCAAAATTGTTATTCCAGGCTTGAGCTTTGCCTTAATACACTGCGGGTAAATATAAAATTAAAGGGTGAAATTCACTGAAAATTTATATCACTACATAATTATAAAATAAAGTCCCCCGCCGCGTCTGCCTGTCTGTCTGTATGAATGGATTTTTATACTGTTTTCGCCAAAGAACGAAGTAATTCATGAGGAAGGTTTAAGTGTGTAACTGATTAAGGTTGTGTATAAATTGGCTGAAATATGACTTGATTGATATGAAATATGACTGACTTTTTCCCACATCTTCGCCAATCCGATGAATGTCATATCAAATCATGCCAACTGGGAGCTTTACTGGTGTGCACTCCGTAAACCAATATATATGAAAACAATATATTACGGAATTATTCCTCTTAAAAATATCTTTTGAAATATAGTAACGCTATATGTCCACATCTAGACGTATCCGAGTGAAGCGAGGGTAAGTTGCTACTTATCTATACTAATATTATAAACAGGCAAGATTTAGTTTTTCTTGTTTGTTTGTACCGAATAGGCTCCATAACTACGATCGATTTAGATGAAATTTTGTAAGAAGATAGTTTGAGACCCTAGAAGGACATAGGATAGATTTTATCCTGAAAACCATCTCTAAAGGGGGTAAAAATGGGGATGAAAGTTTGTATGGGGAAACAACCAAAGGACGAGCTCGAGTGAAGTGATGGTGAGTCTCTAATGCTATATAACTTAAAATAATTAAAAATTATGGGATCGATATTATAAATTAGTACCAGGCAATATAGAGCGAGACAGTAGGCCAATGGTACTGTAGCTGCATCTTCCATAGTCCAGTGTGCCGGCACAGGCCACACATATTCCGGTTTCACACTTACATGTGTTCTTATAGATTCATAATTCGCAATTCCCATTACACGAGCTCCGCTATTGAAATGACAAACAGCTAATTTAAGTACCTTCCAGTCAAATAAAAGAAGCTTTATATATGTATAAAAAAAACTTACCTATCAGTAGTTCCACTAAAATCGAAAAGTTGCATGACTTCTTTATTGCATGAAATAACTCCCATTTTTTTCTGTACTTCAACAACATTTACTCCAGCAAAATGAACCTGAAATATATTGATCAATGTTTATAATGCAAGATAAATATTTTTTTTGTAACAAAGTGTATTTAATTTTACCTTTACATTAATGCCCGCGCCTCTAGGCTCTGGTATTTCTGTCCAATGCAAAGAGTCTAGGTCACCTAATTGTCTCATATTAAGTTCTAATTCTGGACCTTCTATGTTTAAAGTTTCTTTTGCAGGTAAGTAGTATTCTCCGCCCCACGCGCCCTGAAATAATTTATTTGACAATTGTTAATTGCATTGCATTTCTAACATAACAAGAAATGTTTTATACTATAATCCTAAAATAATTTCCATAAGTTTTACTAGCTTGTCTGAAATGTCATCAACAAGTAAAAATAATCGAATACTTATTCTACAGTATATATATATAATGTCTTCTTTGATTTAATCATTTTAGACAAATATTGAAGGTGATTTCTACAGAATTCTGTTCTATATTAAGTAGATATAATAAAATATAATATTATGCTGTGATATTTATCTACCGAATAAAGAATAATTATATTCAAAAATAAAAAAGAATAAAAATGAAACTTACGTTTTGCAAAATATTAACGGCTAAGTGAGTAAGTGGTATTTTATCCAGATTCCAGGTACTGAAAAACTCGTTTTTGATTATGATTAGATTAATTTTGCGGTTATCCTCTTTTCTCCATTTCTTTACTGCTGTTTTTAAAGAAGCTAATGGAGGATATGACGTTATTATCACAAGCTTTTGATATAATGGTATTGCTGTTATTCTTGAAGTAAGTAGAGTAAAATCGGCTTCGGTGTAAACTGTTACAGAACTAGTACCAACATTTGATTCAGTGGGACGCCACAACACTAGTTCTAGAACCGTTGACTCTATTGTATGTGCACAAATACTATGGTACAGGGATAATGGACAATCCCTCGAGATTTCTGCATTATACTTCTCATAGTTAACCACAAAAGTATTGCATGTAAGAACTTGGCGTAGCGTTTGACACAGCTGTGAAATAGTACAAAACCAATAATTAATAGGCATTAAATTTATGAAAATATCTAGTATAATAAATATAGCCATAGACAAAGACAATAAACTGAGCTTTAGCCTCAAAAATGTGACCATCCTGTAGAACATGAAATATAACTAGCTTTAATTTAATTTTCCATTTTGGAACAGATACAAAACGATTGTGCAGACAATACCTCTCTCCTTATTGCAGGTCTATATTAATAAACGTGCAGGGTCTCAAGAGATTTTTTTTTTAAATAATTTGATTATTTAAATCTATGGGTGAAACCAAAGTTATAAGCCAACTTACATCATTATTATTTGATAGATTTGACACTATCAACAAATCGATTGCACTCAATGAAGCAGTATTACTTGTTTTAAGGCTACCGTTTGTAATTACTGAATAATTGGCCTGTATTCCAGGAATTTCAGGGAGCATTTGATTAGTGTCAACAAATTCAGAGACACTATTTTCAATAATTTCAACAATATTTAAATCGTGCTTATTTAGATTTTCAGCAGATATTTGTATATAAGTAGAGAGTGCTGACGCTTTCTGAAAAATATTAAAATATTCATAATTCTTATTGAAAATGCACTTGTGTTTATAAACAAATTTTATTATTATACATACATCGATAGTGTTCGTAGAAAAGTGAGGAACAAATTTTAAAGCTTTTACTCCAAAATTTTTACAGATAGTTGGTAAATCATGAAATCTTATATTTCGCATGATTATACCACCGCATCTAAAACAAATGTTATAATATCAATATTAAATAAAATACAAATTATAGAAAAATGGAATGTAAAATAAACAATCCTACCCATAAATAAATCATACCTTGTATAATCAAGAACATCAAATATCCTCGCAGGTGTAACTTTTATTCCATCTATTTCATACATTTCATCAAAATGCTCATTAACGTCAATTATTATTTTTCTTACAAAGTGTGGCTGAGAAACCGTTTCATGAATTCTTCTGAGCGCATTTAATTGGAGCATACTGTCAATCATGGCCACCCAATTGTCTTCCCATTTTATATTAGCTTCAGACAATGACAAGCTGGCATTGTAAATACTACGAAATACGCCCCTGTAGTTAAATATAAAATTAATAAAAAAGTTGTTGCACAATATTTTATAATATTCCTTCAATTTGCTGTTACTTACGAGTAATTATAATCCCTTATAGAAAAGAGTTTATAAATATCATCTGATTTAAGTTGCATTTCTTCCTTACAATTTAAATTAAGTTTGTCTTGTTTGTTTTTGTCTTTTTTTATTTCCCCACTTATATAACCTGTTACGATTTTAGTACTTTCATCTAATACCTAAATTATAAGAAAATTATAGATTTTTAATATACTAAGTTATTTAGAAGAACCATAACACATGTAAATCAATTGACGATATTTAAATAATTAGACAAGCTTACTTCAAAACGGCCATTTCCTCTATGTAAAGCTATATTTAAACGCAAGTTTCGCTGTTTATGAAGAATTGGTTGTGTAAAAAAATGTATATCAGTAAATTGGACTGACAGCTGTTTCTTTTCTACTCCTAAAATCATTGCCAATGTGTCCCAAACTCCTACGAGTGCTCCAGAAAATGGATACAATATCTTTTCTAAAATTAAAAATTAATATTATTATTTAGGGACTTCAAATTATGATATTTAAAAAGCGACTATAAGTTTTATATTATCACCTCTTATGACGTGGCCTTTTAAATATGCGTGATCGTCATCATATGTAGATATCACAAATTTTGTCGCGGCAGCTTTTCTTTTACACGCTGACACATACAAAGGTAAAGCCCTGTAATATTTATTCTGCTTATTGTATTAATCCTCTATTAACCATTTTCCGAAAATCTTATTGAAATAGTCACTATTATCGATAAAGGGGCCGAACCTATGGTTTTTTGGATTTTTTGTCTGGCTCTCTATTTGTCTCTGTCTGTCTATCTGTCTGGAAACACATCACGAGAAAGCCACTGGACAGATTTTGATGATATTTGTTATGATAATAGCGGGTTATTCGGGTCAAAATAATTATAAGATACTTTTTACTGCGGGAAAATATCTCATCTCTGAAAAATCTATACTAAACGTTAAAACATAACTAGGGACGAACCTAAGTAAATTGTTCATAACAAAGTGAAAAATAACAATTTTTTAATTTTTTCAACGGGGATCTATTCTATTCTAAAGCCTTTGAAAGAAAGGAAAAAATCTCAAATTTGTAGTTTAACAATTTTCACACTTGCAATGTTCATGTTCAAGCACAAAATAATTATTAATTCACAATTGCATAACTAATTGAAAAATTGTGTTAAAAATATGTTTCTGGCGAATTATTGTTCATTTATCTATCCAGTAAGCTACAAAATTTTTCAATTACTAAATTTTATATTTAATATGTTAAAATATTTTTATTGATAAAGTGTCCGAAGTAGGCGTGGATTGCGCAAGCCAGAGAATACGTTTAGGCCGTATTTAAATCCCTTTGGAATTTTGGTATTTTGGAATTGGTAAAAAAGTTTTGGTAGTAAAAAATTTTTTTAGGAAATTTCTTCCTCTTTTTGTATTTTTTTGTTAGATTTTAAAACCTCAATTAGTTTTTGAGATATTTGCAAAAAACGAAACCCGTTTTTTTATTTTAAGTTAATTGTTTATAACCTTTGCAATTGTTGCAAGCAGAACTTGATTTTTTTCAAAAATAATTTACAAGCCATTCCTAATCGAATGACACCTCGTTCATGTTTTTCCGAGACTGCTAAAAAAGTTGACTTAAAAGGCACTTGTTGACTAGACTAGAATGATTATTTACTTGGTTCAGAAATCATTAAATGTAATAAAATAGTTTCAGGATGAGATATAGCATATAGCCTTCCGCAATAAACGGACTAACATAAAAAGAATTTTTCAAATCGGATCAGTAGTTCCTGAGATTAGCAAATTACGTTTTTGTCAGCCGTAGGACTCAAAAAACTAAAGTCGTTACTAATACTAAATAATTAAAATAACTTTAAAATAGATATATTACAGATGTAATATTTCTATTTTAAAGTTATTTTAATTATTTAGTAGTTTAGATAAACTTAATTCTATGAAACAATAGTGATCGATATTAAAGTCACATCTTAAATCCAAATTACTTATTACAATCGGAATATATAAGATACTGGAATGATGATGCAGTCTTAATTTGGGGGCACACGCATAGCGGTAAAGGGGACATGACGGTGACTCGTGAGCGTGCGCGACGTCAGCAGATCTCCTCTAGGCAACGCATGTGACATACATAAGACGCTGAGATGATGATGCAGAGTCTTAATTTGGGGACACACATGTAGCGGCGACTTGTACTATATAATATGTTTTTAAAGATTTACTAGCGCCTTACACTTGCTATGCTCAAGTTTGTTCCTAAACGGTGAGGTAACATTAGCCTAAGTGCCAGATCATAGTCTATCTGTATACAAAATTCCATTCAAATCCAGCTGTTTCAGCATGAAGGAGTAACAAAGATACAGACAAACTTTCGCATTACTATAATAGTCCAATTAACATAAATACATAGTATTATAGTTCACTGCCTCGGTGCTGTAGTGGCTAGCATGTACGGCTGCACACCCGGAGGTCCTGGGTTCGAGTCCCGGGTCGGGCCAAGTTTAGTTATTGAGTCTTTCTGTAAAGTAAGCCTCAGTAACAGCCCGGAGTTGGGAAGTTGGCGGTGTTTCATACCCGTGCCTCGGAGAGCACGTAAAGCCGTCGGTCCTGCGCCTTAACTCTCACTGGTCGTGTCGAGTACTCGTCCTTCCGGAGTATGAGAGTGACAGGAACAGAGAGTGCACTTGTGCCTGCGCGTACACTTGTGCACTATAATATCTCCTGCGCAGTTGGTTAATCTTTACGAGATTGGCCGCCGTGGCCGGAATCGGTCAGGAGAACATCATCATTATAGTTCACTAAACTTCCAATACCATTTTCTAGTTGCCAAGAAAAGAAATTAGTCGTTTTGGAAAAAAATATAACCCTAGTAGAAGTCCTAATAATTCAGAACAATGCCAAAGGTGCATATAGGCAATATCTACAGTATTTTGACGTGAATTCTTGTAATCCTTACCATTTTTCCTGATGAACCCATTCTACTAGATGCGATAGTGGTTGAGTTCCTGTAGAAACTGGAAATTCTATTTTAGGATAGAGCGCTCGAATTTTGGGGTTAAAACCATCCAAATAGAGTCTGTAAAAGTATTTTTTTGTGAAAGTATTTTTGTATTTAGTGACTTTAAAACACGTTTGATTTAATCGATAATATTGTGTTTGAAATAAAACTTTCTTTTCGGATTATTTCGCGGATTTATTTTGATTTTTGGTTCCCAACGTTTCGAATGCTTTACAGCAATCATGGTCACGGGAGAGACTAAGGTTATAGACATCTTAAACACATATACTTATTACAGACAGTGCCTTACCACTATTTTACAAAAATGATTTCAAAAATTCAAAAATGGCACTAAAGTACCTTACAATATTTGTTGATTTTTATTTTAAACATTTTGAAAAATTTAATAAATATTATAATTAAATATAGCAATATTATCATAAATATTAATTTTTTTTAAAGTTTATTAATTATAAATTAAGTTTATTAATATTATTTAGTGTTGATATTATTATATTGTGTATAACCATAAAGAATAATATTAGAAAATTAAAAATTATTAATTATTTATCTAAGTAATATTTTTGTTTTATATGTAATTTAAAAGAAGTTAAAATATTAATTTAGATTGCTATTATTTAAAGTTAAAATATTAAGCAACACTATTGCTACCATTATATGTAGACAAAAAATATTAATCAGAGTTATTTTTGAAATCATTTTTGTAAAATAGTGGGTAGACACTGTCTGTAACATGTATATGTGTTTGAGACGTCTTTAACCTTAGTCTCTCCCGTGACCATGATTGCTGTAAAGCATTCGAAACGTCGGGAACCAAAAATCAAAATTATTCGGCGAAATAATCCGAAAACATAGTTTTATTTAAAATGTCAAATATTCGCGTAATTCTAAGAAAGTATTAGATAATATTGTGTATTGAAAACTTACGATTTATTGTACAAAACAAACTTAAATTGAGCAATACTTTGGTAATAAAGTTTATGACTTCGTATAATCAATATTATATTCCTTTCAAATTTAATCGACATTTTAAGCTGTAATATTTACTCTCCAATAGCTTGAAGAAAGAATTGCACAGCGTTCGGATATCCTCTACGTGTTAGAGGCACGTGGTGACAGAAGGGGAAAGATCTTTTAAGAATAGCCTGCAGAAGACCGTGTGGCGCAATCTCTATCAGCACTGCTTTAGGCGGAATCAAACGTGATGCCTCCTCAAAGAGTACAGGGCTCTGTAACACAATTCTTATATCATTAGAAAACCAAAAATATTAAATAATACATAGCTATAAGAACAAAAAAAACAAATATGCTTTTACAGACGTATGTACATTTATAAAACTTATAAAGTAATTTATTTAGAAATCTTAAAATGTTATGAACTTTTTCTATATGTTTAATTTTTACGTTTATATGTATAAAATATTTAAAAAAAAACTTACGAGTAAATTATTCGTATGGTATTCAGCTGAAGAATACTTGGCTAATGGCTCATCCCATCTATTCATAGGTACTGAAGAAGACACCCAACGTTTACTACGAGGTTTTGGGGATTTGATCACTTTTCTCAACATTTCAAGAAGACTAGGACCTGATATTTTAAATTATTATCTTAATTTGCTTACTTATTTGCTTAGATTTCTAAAATAGCTTCATTTGATTAATTAGTTAAGCTTAAATGGATAAATACTCATGTTATAAATTTAAATTATTTTCACAATTATGATTATATCGCATATTTTATATTACTTAATAATTTCATATGTTCAATTAACTAATTTCAAAAATCTTAACTTTTTTGTATGTTAAGCTCTATAATCATAAACATACCTGCTTTAGAAATATAATGAGAATGATATGCAATATTTGAACACGGGACTTCTGTGGCGAAAACACCTTTACTAACTAAAACTTTAACAAATTTGTGTATCATTTCAGCAGGACCCGAAATAGTACAAGATTCAGAGCTGTTATGGCAAGCCACCTCGATCTCGGGGGGGCACAGTTTCACGATCTATAAAAAATGAGAAGGACTTTATTTATCTTTCATTCAAAATAATGTGCCTATAAAATTTCAGTAAAGACGCCACTTGAAAGAAAACAATATTTGTGGACTAAAGATAGATATATATTAGAGAAATTTCAAACCTGTTGATATCCGAGGCCAACCGCGGCCATGGCTCCATGTATAAGAGGCGTCTCTAAAGACACTTGACCGCGGCAGCTTGCTGCTAAAATCATTTCCTCTGCGGTAAAGCAGCCATCTGCGTACGCACAACCTAGCTCACCCACACTGTGACCTTAAAAATGTTTGAGCGTTGAAAAAGCTATCATGGATATATGTACATATATAACTCAATATGCTTAACAGCTTCATTCTTAATACCTCCAGGTAAATTTCTAAGAAATTCATTAAATTTCTAAGAAATCTATAGTTAACTGTAACGCCGGCGTGTCCGCGGTCATTGAGGGATTAATGATTTATTAGTTTACATAGTGTAATATTGTCTCGACGCTTCAGCCTTGCACCGATTTTAAAGATAAGTAGATTTTTTTAAATGGCAACTCCTATATGTCACTGTCATCTTTCCCGCCGCCAGCAATCTACGTTGGGACTGGGGATAACCATCTCGCCTTATTCTTCGTTTTCGTGCTCAAGCCTTCGCACGACTCCTTAATCCGCCTGAAGTGTTTAGTTAAAAGTAAAGATATAATGAGGAAGAAAATCATATTTAAAGAGATAAGAGCTACTATATTTGGGTTGTCTCTGTCTCAGTTCATTGATATGTTCTGCTACTATATATCGATCGCTACTATCTTGATACGTGATGCTAAATATGGGCTAATACTGTCACATTTAAAGAGATGTGAGCTGCTATTTGGGCTACCTCTGTCTCACAATTTATTGATGCGTTATGCTACCCTGGGCAGTTACCTTCATTTTATTCTAAGATATGAACAACTACATCTGAGTTGAATCTGTCAAAGTATATTCTTAAACTGTATTTATACAAATACACCGTTCGACTGTTTTACATAACAAGGGATGAATTAAAAATTTTAAAAACGCCCGACCATTTTGGACCAATTTTCATCAAACATAGCTAAGATCACTCCCGACTATATCACCTTTCAAACAAAAACAAACAAAATCAAAATCGGTTTATCCGTTTGGGAGCTATGATGCCACAAACAGACACTATCATGTCCTTCCCAGGGTCTCAAACTATCTCCATACCAAATTTCGTCTAAATTAGTTCAGCGTCAGTTCAAAAAGGTAACAGATAGACAGAGTTACTTTCGCATTTATATATTAGTATGGATTTTGAAAAGTTCATAAATCAAACGAAGGAAACAATCCTAAACTTTACGAGTCTAAATAAATTCATTTTAAACTACTCGTTTTTAATACAAAACGTTAACAAAAAACTGTTTCATGGAATCTATTGATTTAAAATAGCTTATATTTAATTTTAACTAAAGAATATCATAGAATATTTTATTGTTCTCATATATAGGTTATTAATAACTATCTGCTATTTTGTATACATTTGTACAGCCCGTGTACGTGTTTACAAAATTAGTAAAACCTAATTTTATTATTTTAACATTGTACAGTAACTCTTCGGTAACTTATTAACACAATATTTATATTTTTATTTTTTTATATTTGCGTGTCACTTGTAGAATGTATAAAACATCCTGCAAATAGAAACTTGCTGAAAATGCATTTAGTTTAATAATATAACTAATAAGGATAAAATCTATTTACTTTCTACAAAAGAATCCATACAAATTATTATAATCTATTTTTTGGAAAATCTTATTGAAATAAACATTATTATCGATACAGAGGCTGAATCGATAAAAGAAAAGAATCTGTAGTTTTTAGAATTTTTGTCTGTCTGTCTGTTTGTCTGTTACCGCATCACAGAAAAGCCACTGGGGGAATTTTGATGACATTTGGTATGGTGACAGCTGATTATCCGGGTCAACATATAGGATACTTTTTACTCTGGGAAAATTTCTCATTTCTGAGAAAAAATACAAAAGCTGCAATGTAAGAGTATACTAATATGTAAAACCTAAGATTTTGGTTTTTGGCCATCTGAACGTGAGCAGAGCCGCGGGCAATGCTAGTACTCAATAATATCTTAAACCGACATTAGATTATTATTTTAAACGATTCGTTGGATTTTTAGGATGTTGTCCGATAATAACATGTTTTTGTCTTAAACGGTGAACTTGTTAGCCTTAAATATTTATATTTGTTTATAACTATTTGTCTAGTTTTTTCTTGCGAACAAGTAATTTAAATTTGAGCTAGATAAAATATGATAATAATTTATATGTATTAGTGACAATAATTTTTATATCCTTACAGAATAAAAATTATTCGATGATTTATAAATTACTAGCAGTACCTGCGGCTTCACCCACGTCCAAACTTTCGATCGCTAACAAAATTTACAGGATCACCCACTGGGCTAATCTGAAGATTACCTGAAAATGTCATCAAAATCACTCCAGCTGTTATGGAGTCCATAGGAAACATACGGCTACAGTTTAGTATATGAAACGCGGCTCCTGGAGGAGTGGGTGGTATTTCTGGATATGGGAGGAAACGGGGAGTTCGAATATAAAAATTTTGTTTTGAGGAAACGGAAGAGTCAAAAGTTGTTGAGACTTAAAGTTACAACATTTCCATACATTATTATGACATTCCTGCCATTTTGATACTTGGAATTGTAAAAATGTCGCTTCCAAGTCATGAGTCAGATCTATCACCGGATTTTAAATTAACATAAAGCACTAATGATAGTAGGGGTTCTGGTTTTGAAACAAAAAAAAGACCTAACAAGAAGGCTAAGGCGGGAGCGAAGCGTAGCGTAGCGTAGCCTTCTCAACCTACGTTGTCCAAGTCGGACTGCCACTTAATCGAAAATAAATAATAATCTTACATTAAAGAAATAGTCTCTTACGTTTATAAACTGCATGAGTACACTTAAAACCCTAAGAACATTTAAAACTATAGTAATACTATTAAAACAAAAGACTTGAAACAAACGTATACGAAAATTAACAAAAACTTATTACGACTGGAAAACAATATGAGAAAAATAACTATGAAAAAGAGAAAAAATAAAACTTAAACGCCTTTAATGAGTACAGATCGTATTCACATACACTATGAAACTTCGCGATATTTTGTGACTACCCTCCAAAAACGTTATACTGAAAAGTATTCACAGATAATAAAATCAAGTAATAGTTTAAAATTTTTTGCTAAATGTAAATAAATTATATAACTCAAAATTTTAGATAAATCAAATAAAAATGACTAAATGTATGTATGAATTTAAAATAACATATTTCTATTTTAGAATCTTAGTAATCTGACGACAATTTTCATTTTTAATATGCATAACTCTTAAATAATTATTAAGCAGTAATCTGTTATGTCCTGAAAGCAGTACATAAAACAGAAATTCACATTTTTCTCAAAATTTAAGATTATTGTGTTTAGGTTATTGTTTTTAGTGAAATTATCAAAATATTAAAGCAATAAAGCTTTAATTAGGTATAGAAATGTATGAAAATGTTCTAACTTTAAGTCTCAATAACTTTTGACTCCTTCGTTTTCTCAAAATAATTTTTATATATTTGAACTCCCTATCACCTCCACTATCCAAAAATCACGTCTCCAGGGGTCGCGTCCCATATACTAAACTTTAGTATCGTGAGATGTATATTTATACATGTTGTAGCATACTTACCTGTGCTCCACCTGCAAAAACCTTATTATAATATATAATTATAGTAACAATAATAAATAATTAGTATTGATATATATGTAAATGTAAACCAACTATAATAAATTATTAGTATTGTGTAACTGTTAAAATAGTATTTAATTGTATCTAAATAACATACATAAATAAACTACATAAATAAATATACATATAAATAATATCATATAATGTAACAATATGTAAAAGTATAGAATAATATATGACTTACTCGTATAATATTGTACTTAAATATAGTAGTAATTATACTAAATACCTTATGATCAAATTAGATGTAAAATAATTAAAACATTTCATAAATTATTAAACTTTATATAGTAGAACTGCATGTCGGAAGGCGGTCGTGGCCGCGTCGTTGCGCATTTTATAAATGTTGCAATAATCCTCAACTGGTACAAGAACAATAGGCATCGGCGACGCAATCATGCGCCGGCCGGCTGACCGCCTCACGTCACAGTCCACAACAGCTACTCAAAGTGAACGCATGTCGCTCTGTATCAGCTCCGTACTTAATCTTGCTATCGTAGTTAATTTAATTTTCACTTTCGTACTTCCATCTTATCATCTGTGTATACTAAACTGCTTGTGCTTACCTATGACTATTTCTTCTGTGAATTTCTTCCGTGCCTTCTGACTGTAACCTGTTTCGCTAAATAAACTGTGTAGTGAACATTTAAAGTGGCGTGATCATTTGTTGCCTAATCATCGCACATACATCTCACTCACCCCACAATGTAATAAAATTGTAACCAAGCCGAATCTGTACATTAAATATTTTTTGAAAAATCTTATTGAAATAAACATCACTATCGATACAGACCGAATCTATAGTTTAAAAAAAATCTATCTGTCTGTTACCGCATCACAGAAAAACCACTGGAGGGATTTTGATGAAATTTGGTATGGTGATAGCTGGTTACCCGGGTCATCATATAGGACTTTCTTCCGCGTGAAAATGTCTCATTTCTGAGAAAAAATACAAACCTGCAATGTAAGAGTATACTAATATGTAAAACCTAAGAATTTGGTTTCTGATAATCTGAATGGGGTCGGAGCCGCGGGCAATGCTAGTTCAAGATATATATTCCGGTATTTCTATATACACAACACGTGTTTTACATCGGTAAATATAAAAACTATTACAAGTGTGTGTCTGTAATCAAATATTACAAGTTAAATTTGGCACACATGTTTGATTCTCGTAACTGCACAACTTACTAAATGCCACCATTTTTAATCTAATACGGAAGGACGTCACAAAATGGCGATATATTATTTCCATAGTGACCCATATGATATAGGTATCAATTGAAAGGGCTTGATGAGCGAAACACTATAAGCAAAGTGACGTCATTATAAATTTAATATGGCGGACTGTTTATTTTGGATCCCCATGATATAGATATCAAATGAAAAGGTTTGCCGAGAAGAATACGAAAAAAAGTAAGAAACATTTAAAAAAGGTAAAACATCAAAAAAACAAGCTTTTATTTAAATGCTCTTAAAAACAAAGAAGCTTAACTTCTTACGTGCGTACATAAGTACTATACAACTTTTTTTCCAATAAAATGTGTTTCTTGTGTTTTTTTATTAACTCTTCATTGAAATGAACTTGGTATTAATGCTCTTCAACGTAATTAAATGAACTGTATTTTAGAAATTTTGAAAATCAGCCCCTAAGTGGGTAAAACTGGGCTGTGAAGTTGGAGTTGTTGAATATATTTAAACACAGCAACATTTTTCAAGTTCTCCGTAAGTGCACACTTATTGTGTGGGATATAAAGAAGAGAACGGAAATTATTCCGAATCCAAAGGAAAATTATGTATACCTTCTCAGCGAGAGAGAGACAGAATGCAGCTAGAGAATACCCTGCTATTTATATCTTCCTTCTGAAGGTTGGTACAACTGTAATGAAAGAGTCACCTAAGCTGTGTAATGGGATTAAACTGTGAGTAATTCATTAATCATCATAGTGGTCACTGTGTTTGCTGCATGTGCTCGAGGGGAATCAGAATTCATACCTCGAATACCATTGATAACTTCTGACTACGCCTTTGAATTTAATGTATAGTAATTCCTCGTCAAAGCTTGCTTTGCAATGACCATTAATATATCTCAGGGCCAGTCGTTAAAAGTAGCAGGCGTAGACTTAAGTGAGGATAGCTTCTCACAGGGACATTCTAGGCTCTGGCAGAACCCAGAACTAGACAAAACATCCATAAGTGTGGTATATTTGTGGTTGGTTTTTTTAGCTAAGTTAAGTAAATTTAGAGTAGACGAAGTTAGGTGAATCTAAAATTTTTATTCTAGACATAATATTAAAAATTCGATATGATAACATAAAAATTCAGTGAAAATAAAAACTAAGCTAATTAAACCACGCAAGCGTAGCCGCGGGCAAAAACCTATCTAATATATTATTTACCCTGTTTAAAAATATGAAATAGTTTGTTGAAACAAAATGAGGCGAGACGGTCATTCCTTGTAGTCCAACGTAGGTTGTTGGCGGCGGGAAAGGTGACAGTTACGTATAGGAGTTGCCATCTTATCGTTAAACATCCAACAAGGCTGAAGCGTGAAGTCGATACTACACTATGTTAACTAACAAATCGCGTTGAATGAAGCTGTTTACATAATTGTAATCGATCTTCACTTACAGGTAAGTCCATTTGATTTTCAAATATACTTTACTTAACGTAACTTACAAATAGTTAAAAAATTATTATCATTTTTATTATTTTCAACAAAATTGTAAAGAGTAAAAAAGGTATCAACATATTAAATAATTTTTAATCATTATATACAAAAATAATACAATACATACCAATAATCTTATCAGGTTTAATACCTAGTTCGTTCAAAACATCAGTCAGACCAATTTGCATAGCAGCAATTCCAACAAAAGAATTCTGAATATTGTCAAAAATTGCTTTATCATCTGAACATATCACATCAATGATGTCTATTGCCTGAGGTTCTAAAACACGTTTACACCTGAAATTAAAACAGATGTCTATGATTTCCACATATGTACCTACTAATCTATTCTATTGTGCATTTCGAATGTGAGGTACTTAAGGAGCTATGTGATGTGTGGTGATGCCATCTAGATCAGATCAGATTTATTTTAAATAGAGCAGATACCAGCTTATGATTAATACAAATATTCACCTCGTTTTTTCGGACTTATGAATACGATACAACAAAGCGCCACTACAGTCATTACTAAATTATTAATAGCAGAACCCGCGGCTACGCTCGCATTCAATCTACAAAAACAGTCTTTGGCTTTATGTTATACAGCTATGAATTTACAAAATATTTTGTTCAGACAAAAATACTAAATTCGCGATTAATTAATGGGGGGGTAGAGGTAGGGGGGTGAAAAATACTGTTACTTTCTATGAGTTCGCGGATCGGAAATTAAAGCACATCTTTTGCACTATTGATGCTCATGATTAACAAGAGTGACTTATGGAGATTTACTAACATGCGCAGTATATACACAGTTCTGGTTAAACTCAATCGCTGGACACTAATTCACTCCATTAGTCACTATGAAGAAGACTGCAAGCATTGTCTTAGACAAGAGACGAAAGAACTGAAAACTATTAAAATCGTTCGAACAGTTTCGGAGGAGTGCGACCACAAACACCATGACATGATATATATATATATATATATATATATATATATATATATATATATATATATATATATATATATTCTCTATTGCATATTAACAGAGTAACACAGATAATATAGAGACCAATGTGGGCAAAGGTGGACTTATCTCTAGTAGAGATCTCTTCCAGCCAACCTATGGAAGTGAGAAGTAGTGTTATATGACGTGACTAAAAGAGTGCAATTGTTTTAAGATAACATTATAAATAATTATACAATTAAATCAGACAAAAAAAGACACATATAATGATAAATATACAATAACTTACATATTACACATACTATGTACATATATACAAACATATTAAAATATAAATATAATCGTATGCATTTGGAATACATAAAAATAGTGGATCTGATAATAAAATTAAGGACCAATTTGTGACAGAAGGTACTGTTTTAAATTTTTTTAAAAGAAGTTATAGAGGGGCTTTTTTGGATGTATTTAGGGAGTTTGTTCCAGAGTAGTGGGGCATATACTGAGAAAGAGTGCGAAAAAAAATATTATTATATACATTTGAACAAATTTTATTTACTTTTCTATAGCTGCAGCAAAAGCTGGTATACGCAATAAATGCTTCCCCATTCCTGACCATTGCGAGCCCATACCGCTGTACACGAACCAGAGCGGTCGTTTGGTCTCGACGAAGTATTCCATTTTCTCAAATAGGCTAATCGTTGTATTTGTTTGGTCCGTATCTGTGCTTATTAAAAGAAATTTTTTTTTAATTATTTTTTATGGTCAGAAAAGTTACAGAGACAAAACTTCTTTTTACTAGGATCTAGTTTTATTAATTTTAAATTCTTCTTCTTCCAAGCAGTTCTTTCAATCCTTTTAGACATCCTCTTTTACACAGCCTATACATAATTTTATCGGTCTGCCTCTACTTCCATATTTACATTACTAATTACATTTATACCTAATACTCTCTTGTTTTTATGACTTTCTTTTCTGATCGTAGATATACTCATATTAATGTGCAATGCTACATCCCCGTGCCTTGACGAGAACGTTAAGCCCTTTCCAATTTCGGATTGTTTCTAAAAAATCCTAGATAGAGAAACCTAATACTTTACCTAAACCGAAGTTGGGAGTCGAACCCAGAACTTGTGGATGTGGAGCCGAATATGCTAGCTACGAGATCAATGAGACAGTTAAATATACTGTTTAAAGGAATGCAACCGTTTTTATCAAATTAAAATATTTCAAATTACCGAGGATAACGTAACCACGTCCCAAGTGACCGGAAATTTTCGCCTCGTGAATATTATGCAGTAATGCTAATTCTTCGGGATCTATTGGTCGAGATTTCAAATCATTTATAATTTTTGCCACGGCTGATTCCTGTCTTCCTGATAATGTTACCAAGTATGGAATATTTGACTTATAACGCGAAGGAACCTGAAATATTTTTTTACAATTTACAGAAATTATGTATATATAGCTTCCTTGTAGGGTAAACAGACATGTTATTTTCAATGTTCATATTATTTACTCGTATTTTCGACTAGCTACTTAAACACATTTCGCTCAGATAAGTCCCTAGGTACATTTCAAATTAAATAGACACATGCCCTTGCGGAATATTCTGTAGGTCTTTTTAAAACCTACCTACAATTCTCTAGTACATTGTTATCCACGAAAACGAGAGATTTTGCCGCATTAAATTGTTAAATATGTTAATGATCCTCATCGCATAGCTTATACGCATGGTAATCGAAGTCACTACAGAGTTTAACCGTCTTACTACAAAAGATTTAATCATGCCTTAGGCATGTACAGTGGGCTTTTTATGTCGTTCGCGACACACAAACCCCACTGTATATAATATTATATAATCACCTATGAGTCAGTGGTAGTGGTAACGGACATATAAAACAAACTAGAAAAAGGGTAGATAGATATTATGTCAGCCAATAAAAAATAACATCCACCTGCAAAGTCGTCAGTATACGTACATATTATGACCATGGTGCTTGTAACAGTGCTAAAATATCGGAATCTCTTAAAAGTATGTGAGAGACATTGTAAATATCACGTTTTACATGATAATAATATTATATATTATTCATTTAAATTGTTCATTAGGTACGAGTATAATATAAACAAAAATTACTAAATATTTATTAAAATAAAGGAAATACATTGAAATTGTATTATTTATTCATATTATATTAATTGAAGTATATACCTATTTTAATATTCAAAACGTTAAAACGATTAATTAATAATTAAATTATTCGTACATACATTAAGCATGCGAAAATGATGAAACTTAGGTTAGTTATATTTTTATCAAACTATCCTATTTTTTTCAAACTATCCTATATAATTTACAATGTACTACTATATTATGTATGTATATTGTACTACGAGCGTTACCCGCGGCTCCATCCGTTATTTATGTGTAACCAAAATAACTTATTTTAATGTATCTATAAGAAAAAATATAAAATTTTCGTATGAAATTATTATAGTCTTTGACACGCTAGTTCGGCTTTATCAGAAAATCCATTCTTTGCTGATGTTTGAAAATCAAGAAAAGTACGTGACCTATGAGAAGATAAAATTTGGCAAGTAGGTAGTTTTTAGGAAACATTTTATTTTAGGAATTCTACGGCAAAAAAAAAAAATACAAAATCACTGGTGTATTTCACGTGAATTCAAACTTTTATTATTTTTTCACGACTCATAAAATTGAAAAGTTGGAATGTAACATTATATAAATAATAAGCGTCAAACATTCGCGTAAATCTAAGAAAGTATTATGTGAACCAGTACGGACTGGAAACCGCAAACAAGATACGCCGGTTAGAAGATCTAAAGACAAAGCGCGCAAGATTATTAACATCGTTAACTTTCTTGAAGAGATGTCGTGATCATCGTCTCATTCCTACGTGTGTGAAAATATCTTCCAAAAAGAACATACGAGGAAGCGCTAAGATCGTAAACCAGGCAAGTTTTAAGTTGTTACGGACAGTGATTCGACAAAATCGCCGCGATCTACGCAGAAACGACCGGGACATTGAACAGACGTCTAATATTGTTAAGACAGTATTGACACCATCTGATTTCAACGATTGCATTGACACTTTAAATAAGCGTGAAACAACCAAATATAATCAGTGCAAAATTAAACATATTTTAAAATATCAAAAACTCGTTGAAAAATTAAACATCAAAAAGAAAAAGAAAACCATAGAGTATAACGGAACGTGCCCGTCTACCACAGATACACACTCGTGCGGACCTCGGGTTGTCAATCTGTCAAAACAAACGTTAGACGAACCTACCATTCGGGTACTAAATAAAGGTTTGAATTTTGCTGTAACGCCTACGCGCATTCCTTATGAAAACATTATTTGCGCAGTTGAAGATGCCCTGGCCCAAAATATTATGAAAACTGAGGATATGGAGGCCATACGTCAAGATGTTTCGTCTTTATTACGTCGTAGTACTAGGCCCAAACCAAATCTCAATAAACAAGAGTATTTAGCGTTGAAGAACCTACGCAATAGGTCAGACATCACCGTTCTACGCGCAGACAAAGGAAACGCAACCGTTGTGATGGATACATCAGATTATAATGATAAAATAAAACAACTTTTGTCGGACGAGAGCACGTACAAAAAGGTTAAAACGGATCCAACTACCACCGTTTTAAATAATACTAAAAAGCTAATTAAGGAACACTCCGACACATTAAATCTTGATGTTAAAAATCTTATTCCATCATGTGCAAAACCACCTAAGTTGTATGGACTTCCGAAAATACACAAGACTAACGCTCCGCTACGTCCAATTGTGAGTCAAATCGACTCACCGACTTACAAATTGGCTAAACTAGTAGCAAAAGTACTCTCACCACTCAGAGGATTAACAAGAGCGTTCACAAAGGACTCTTACCATTTTGTCAATGAAGTTAAACACCTAAAACTCATGGACAATGAAACAATGGTTAGTTTCGATGTACAGTCTTTATTTACCAGCCTACCAGTGGAAGACTGTATTGAAATAATATCTAGGAAGCTACTAGATCACAACATGTCAATAGAATACATTGAACTCTTAAAACACTGCCTAACATCCGGCTATCTACTGTGGAATGGTGAATTCTACAGGCAAGTGGATGGAGTGGCCATGGGTTCGCCAGTCTCCCCCGTCGTAGCCGACATCTTCATGGAGGACTTCGAGGAGACTGCTCTGAACACATCACCCGTGACCCCTCGTTTCTACAAGCGGTATGTAGATGACACTTTTACAATATTACCTTCTGATAAAATAACTGTATTCTTAGAACACCTTAATTCTATAAATCCTAAAATTCAATTTACAATGGAATTAGAATCGGACAAAACCTTAGCTTTCCTAGATGTATTAGTTAAACGTAACCCAGATAACACCTTGAGTCATACCGTGTATAGAAAGAAGACCCATACTGATAGGTACCTGAACGGTGAATCTCACCACCATCCTTCACAGTTAGCTACCGTGGGAAAATCTCTGTTTCAGAGAGCGCGCGGGATCTGTGACGAGCAACACCTGGCCGGAGAACTGCAACATGTCAAGCAAGTTCTGCGTGACAACAAGCTGCAAGTGCCGCGCCTGCGTCACAGTGACCGAGTGAAACCAGCCACAGTCGAGCGCGTCCCTGCAGTCTTGCCATACATGAAAGGAGTCACTGACAAGATTGGCTACATTCTAAAGCGAGCTTCAATTAAAACTTACTTCAAGCCGCCAAAGAAAATTAGTCAGTTCTTACCACCTGTCAAGTGCCACATCCCTCTACAAGATGCAGGAGTCTACAAGCTTGATTGTGATTGTGGGCTCTCTTACATTGGACAAACAAAACGATCCATTAGAACCCGGGTCAAAGAACACATAGCTGATGTGAAGCACCGTCGCAATACAACATCTGCTGTCTGCAAACATAGCCAGGACCGCCCAAGCCATTATATTCGTTTCGATAGACCTCAAATCCTGGCGAAAGAAAACCGATATCGCCCTAGAATGATTCGAGAAGCCATAGAAATTAAAAAACATCCAAATTTCAATAGGGAAGATGGCTGGGTACTACCATCGTCATGGGATCCTGTTATTAATATAATAAAATCAAATAATAAATATAAACATAACAGACAGGCAGATGTAGTAAGTTCATACTGTGTAGATCAAAATGACAGCTTATCAGATTAATATTTTTCATTTGTAAAAGTATATATTAATAGTGTTGCTTAGTAAGTTGTTTTAAATAATAGCAAACTAAATTAAAATGATTATCCGTAATTAATTTTAACTTTTTAAATTACACATAGAACAATTATATGGCTTTAATAATTAATACTATATTTTTATATTTTTTATTTATGGTTATAAATATAATAATGGCAACACTAAATATAGATTACTAATTAATATTTTTAAAATTGTAATAATTATAAAAATAATAGCAAAAATTAAATATTTATTTAATTTTCCATATTCAATTATAATTAAAATTATAAAAAATGTTTAAAGTTAAAAATATTGTAATGTAATTGGTGCAATTTTCATTTTGTTAATTGTGGGTAGGCTGTCTGTAACAACTATATCTTTAAGACATGTAACACCTCAGTCTCTCCCGTGACCATGGATGCTGTAAAGCATTCGAAACGTCGGGAACCAAAAATCAAAATAAATCCGCGAAATAATCCGAAAAGATAGTTTTATTTAAAAATGTCAAACATTCGCGTAAATCTAAGAAAGTATTATAAGCGTCAAATTAAAAACTTAAGGTCACCATTTTTTTCGTTTTTTCCTAAAAAATACATTGGTGTAATGGTTTTATAAACATTTGGTCGATATAGTGCACTTCTTAAATGATAATTGAAAAAAATGTAGTTTACAAAGTAAAAATTATCGATTTCTCCATTTTTTTAAATTTTTAAGAGTGTTTGTTCAAGATGACCAACAATGTTTTTATATTTTCAAAAAGTAGAGTTCAAGACAAAAAAATGAGCCTTATCTGAAAATTAAACGATTCTTTTTAAATATAAACGCCTACTCGAAGTTGGGTGTGATTTTCAGCCTGTCGACACAATAAAACATACTTTTCTCGGAAATGGCTAAACATTTCAATTTCATTTTTATTTATTTATTATATGTATTTCGAAGATTATATTCCCTTCATTTCATGGAAATCAAAAGATTATTCTAGAAATAAAAAATAAAAAAAACTAAGAAATAGTTCAAAACCGAGTTTTTTTCAAATATCTAGAAAACTTTGAGGTTATTGTAAAAAGTATTATTTATAAAAGTTGACGATTTTTACTAAACCTACAACTTTTGCAGAATTTTTTTCTGATAGAAGGTCACAGTAAGCCGGAAATTGAAAAAACTATTTTTCAACGTTTTGCGTCCCCCCATTTCTCGGGGGTATAACTCGCGTCATTTAAAAAGAAGGCTGTCAAGCTGCGCAGAAGCGATTTATCGGTCAAATTGGTGGTAAGAAGTGGGGTGCGGGGCGGCGGGGCACATGCCGCATGCTTGCCGGCGCACTATTGGTTCCTCAGTTCGAAATACCATCGCGCACACAAAAGATTTTAATTACGAAATGGTTTTATATACAGTAATACCACGGACTTACGCGATAGATGGGACCGAGCGATGACCGCGTAAGTTGAATTCGCTTATTCGAATTCGCGATAAGTCGGGGTTCAACTTTGCATATAAATACATATAAAGTATGTTTAATCGGGACCAGAGTCTAAAGAAATCAGTAATTTAGAAGAAACATGTTTAATAAAATGTTAGACAATAGAAGAATTTTCATTGTTATGAATAAAACAACGTAAACCGAAGATATTTTGATGTCGTTAAGTTTGTCGTTAAGTCGGAGTTAAATTTTATTTGACGTCCAGTCTGTTTTGATTCTTGATTTCGGTAGGTCAAATTTATTTGTCAATACACGAATTTCTAGTTGTGCTTTAAAGTCTTTGTTAAACTTCAGCTAATGCTCCAAAGAAAGTGTTTTTCATTTCTTGTTAAGTTCAAATGACTCATTTTTTGTTCTTTTAGATGACATAATTAGAGGTTATCAATAAAACGCACTGCGTACGTAAAACAAATCCACGCGGAACACTTTCGAACCTGTCGTAAACAGAACACTAACAGGGTGGAGTGAGAGAACTGATGCGCGCGGCAACCAAAAAGAAAAATCGCGTATCTCCGAATTCGCGTAAAACGGGGTAGCGTAAGTCGGGTATTACTGTATAGAAAAGAGAGAAAAAATATTTTTGACGTAGGTATATTGTTTTATAAAGAGAGTCTGATAATAATGCAGTTAATAATTAAAAACAATGTATTTAACGTATTAATTTAATTTTTTGTAAGTAGATTAAACATTGAATAGAATTCTATTTAATATTCCGGGGGAGAAGCCAACTCCTACCGGGCGCGTCCCCAGGTGGCGGATAGGGGAATGCCACCCGCTTAGGGCGGCGGGTGGTACCGGAGAAATCCGGCGCGGACCAAATGGCTTGGGTGGGGCCGCTCGTCTAGGCCTCGAGCCGAAGACGTTGCGGCCACCGGTGGTAGCACCGCTTGGTCCCACAACCGGATGATGGGTGCCGGTTGCGGGACTGTGGTCGCAGGCCCGCATCCGGCGGAAAGGTAAGCCGCGGCGGGAGAGGAGTGCCGGTATTTCGGTGCCCCATTGGTTTGGTGGTCTGCCTAGCGTTTAGGCAGACCTGCCGCCGGGGCGCCGTAGTAGTTACGCGCAAGCGATCCTGCGGCGTCCCACTAAGGCGGGGGGAAGGGATGTCGGGTTTTAGTGGGTAGTACCGGCTCTTCTAGCCGGTGAGCCCCACCTCACCACCTGGGGGATCAGGTGGTATGCGTAAATGCATTTCCCGACGATAAAAAAAATTCTATTTAATATATTCAATACTGCGTCTTTATATATGTAGCAATATACTCTATGACTGCGTCCTCATCTGGCTTTCACGTCACCCACGACGATTTAATGGAAGGAGTTACAACCTTAGTTTACTTTGTTGTAGTTTTTATATATAAAGATTAAAACATTTTACACTGAAACAAACATGTTTTTAATTCTGTTTAATGACAAAGGATGATGATTCTATTTAAAATAAAATAAAATAAAAAATACTTTTATATGATATATTTTTCAATGTCCCTACCAATAACTAATATATGAAGCCGCGAGCGAAATGCTATGAAAAATAAAATAATAGGCTAAGTACTTTTGAGCGCGAGTATACCCATGCGCAAACATACCCCCTCCACTTTCTTCCAGCGTTCTTTTTAGATGACGCGAGTTATAGCTGGGCATGTGGGGCGTTTTACGAATTTCTATTCCTTATATACCTGTTAACATTTTAAAATCATAAAACTTCAGGTTTTCAATATTTTATTCCCAAACCGGATTCCGATTGGACTAAGTAATTAATATTCGTTTTAGATTTATTTTATCTTATTGGCGAAACATTATTTTTGTAATCTTTTGAATTTTGTCATCAAAATGTATGTATCATTTAATCATGACTCTTGCTATTTGTACTTAAAATAAGGATGAATAAAAAATATAATTATTCATACTTTACTAAGACGAATAATAAAGAAGCTGTTGGTATTATATATCGGACGATATTGAGACGAATAAAAATGTATTATTCGTTTGACTATTGTCAGTTTTTACGAATATACTTTTTTTTTCTATTGTAAATTTCAGGTGCAGCAGTTTCTATATGTAAGCAAGAATAACCTTAACCTACCGACCTGAAAAGTTATTCTATTAAATCCCAACGATTTTGAAGTTTAAGAATTTTTATGTGTAATTAGTGTTTTTTAGGTGGGGTTTCTATAGGGGTTTCTATATGTAAAAAAACCTCAACCTCTTTTTTTTTTTTAACGTTGGGAAATGCATTTACGCACGACGTGTGGGACTCACCGGCGTAATACAGCCAGTACTACCCACTAAAACCCAACAAAACCTTTCCCCGTCTTAATGGGGCGTCGCAGGATCGCTTACGCATTCAACTACGACGCCCCGACGGCAGGTCTGCCGAAGCAGACAACCACAACCATGGGGTTGCTCCATAGTCCACTCTGCTATCAGAGAAGTACCAGGAGCAACCCGCATGGTACACCGCCCCCCGAAGAGGGCCACCTCCCACCGCCCACCGAAGTGGGCAACCTTCCTGTGCGTTTCTTAGCTTCGCGCCCGGTTGGATTGCCGGGCACTACTGAGCCCCCCCACCACGACAAGGTGAACGCACGTTTGGGGGGGGGGGGACCTCAACCTACCGAGCCGAGCGGAGCTACTTATTCTTCTTACTTATGTATCTATCAGTCTATTCGTCCTTCCTTATCATTTAAATATTTTATAAAGGACGAATAAACAATCCGTTTAATCATTTCCATTCAAATGTTAAGGTTAATTTTAGTCAAAAGTAACCAGGGGCTTCATGCTGTGATAGTCTTGACCTCGTAATAAAATCAAGGACACATTTTCGTTTATTGCTCAAAGCCTTGATTGAATGAAACTGGGGCGTTAAATTATATTTCATTCCTTCCGTCTACGGAAACGAACATTAATTTAAAGAAAAGAGTCCTTGAATAATATTAACAAAAACCATAGGTATTTTTTTACTTTTCGACAAAAAGTAAAATTATGGGGGATTTTTTTTCAAAATCCCATCTTTTTACTGTTAGCCTAAGATACTTCGATCAACAATAGTATTGTTGATCGAAACTAAGATACGACTAGATACGAAGAAAGGTCGTTTTTGAGAGATAAATATATTTCTATTAAACATAATAGTAATATATCCTAGATCATAGATGGATTGTTACATGAAATATGACTAAGCAGCTCACTTAATTAAAATAATTTAATTTAATTTTAATGTTTAATTTCAATTTTAGCCGATTTTCGCAAGCTACTTAAATTTGTAATCTTCTTTTTAATACATTAAAATAAAAGCTTGTTTTTAAAATGGTTTTTTTAAACTTAGTACTATTCTTACAATATGTATAAAATATAGACAATTAAAAATAAGCTTTTTAATATTAAAGAGCCATAAATATTTTATTTATAAAACTTACCTTTGGCTTATAGCATCCATTTAAGAGAACATGTGAATTGATACCAGTAATTGAAAGCCCGTTAATAGCTGTGTAGGTGCGGCCGAAATCAGTATGATCAGTGACAAGGCGGATTCTCCCTTCCCGTAAAGCCGCTACATCTTGTCGAGGTGAATCACAATGAAGATTGGCTGCGATTTTACCGGTTTCATAGCCTAGGATAACCTATTTTTGCAACAATAATAATAGTCATACAAAGCCATAGTAAAAGACAGTAAATACTTAACACTTAACACGTTAGGATAGAAGCAAACGTTATGTTACGTTAGCTAAAAGCTTACGGTTATCTTTTCCTTGAGTCTATTTAAAATTTTCTGGTGAAATGGGATATGACAAGTCTATTATTTTCAAACTAAAAGTAGTAAATAAATACATACTGTAACTATAAAGCATTGTTAAGGTTCTTTAGTTAATATTCATTTAAACTAAGTAATGTATATATTCTATATCTAGATAGACCTTAGTAAGAGCTGACAACCCCGAAGCTGCTTCAGTATATCCAATGTTAGACATCACACTTCCGACCAAGACTGGATCGATTCTACCCTTACAAAAAATTTCGCTTATAGCTTCTAGCTCGGCTTTATCGGCTTCAGGAATAGCTGTTAATTCAAAAAATATATTATGATCTAGAATCTAGATTGTATTATAAAAATAACCATACTTTCATAACATAAAATATACAAATATCACCTGAACCAACAGCTTCAACATATTCTACCTCTAGAGGGGAGACATTTACTTCATCATAAAATCCCTTTATAAAATTAGACATTTTTTCGGGACTACGGTAGAAACCATATAAAGGTCCCATTTCATCTAAATATAAATCGGTAAACTCACATTTAACATGAATAAGTTCTGCATAAATTCTGCAATATAACAACAACATAAAATTAATTGTATCACAATAAGTAGAGTATTTGATGATTTTTAAATAAGGCTTCATGAAATATCTACCTCAAAGCATCTTTTGCTTTTTGAAGGAAAACAACATTGATTGCTTCAGATTTTGCGCATCCATCTGCATTTGTATCAAAGGATTTTGTCTTACCATCGGGACATGTGCTCAAAACCCTGAAATGTACACATATTATTTATGACTAAAGTTTCAAATAATTTTATAATTTAGTCACATTTGTATTATATTCATAATATAAATGAATACAGGACAACATTCTTAATTTGAATTAATTTCCTTCAGTATAGATGAATTTAAAGTTTAGAAATATTTTATAATATTAAGTTCAAATATTCACCTCTCATAAAGGACACTGGTTTGTGGATGAAGACAGAGATTAGATCCAGCTACAACTGCCATTTCGCAGTCACCGCGAGTCATAGCGATGTAAGCCAAATCTAATGCACAAGTCGAGCTGCAGCACCCTTCATTGATGGCCATCGAAGGTCCCTTCGCATTTAGCCAATATGAAACACGATTCGCGAACATAGCTTTACTACTCCTACAAATACAAATGTTCCAATTTTACAATTTGAAAACTGTTTTATGTCCCCGTCAATGATATGATAAAACTAGACAAATAAAATATATCTAAAAGTGAAATAAATTTTTGCATTAAAAACTTTAAATGATAAATTATTTTTGTAATGTTTTGAATAAGAAAGAAGTCAGGAACATGTTGTAAAGACATCAGATCTGATTAATTAATTATTATTGTCTTCTAAATGTATATAAATGTTTTAATATGTTTGTTGTTAGTGTGGTTTTCTAAATAAAGAAATAAATAACGATCTGTTTAATTTTACAATAAATAAGAAAAATTACATCAAGTATATGTTATCTAAAGTACCAGTTTTGGCTCCATTTTATTTGTAAAATTATATTAAAGGAATCTTTACCTAAGGCTGACCTCAAACAGTCGGAATGGCTATCTGAATTCATATTATTAATTTAGAAAGCACGGAATTGCATACAAATTAACTATTTTCCTCAGACACTGTGATTTTTTCAGGTCAATCTTTCGGAAAAGTACTGACGAGCGTTATGAATGCAGAATCGGAAAGATTAAGATATACATTCAAAACGCACGTCTTTCTACACACACTCTATAATAATATTATGAGTCATCTCAGTTGCGCTGCAAATTGATAGCCGTTGGACGTTTGTGTGAAAGACACCTTTTAACTGTCGAAGGATCTGTCCGAGTATTGACGTTACATTTTTTCGCCGTAATGTAGTACTGGCTCTCTTTTACTCTATTTACATTAAGAGGATCAATTCAGTACTTTCGTTTTCTTTTCTTTTTATTACAAATAGACAAAAGTTGTGCGATGAGTATCAGTTTTTCTTCCATATTTACGTACATACGTACATACGCTTGGGCCGAAAAACACGAGATTACTGATCTATCTGAATTTTTAATAAATGTGTGAGGCAAGGTTCCAGAATCCAGACTATGAATTTAGAATTGTAGAACGGAATGGATTGTGCAATGTAATAAATGTTATATGCTTTATCTCTCTCTCATTACTGTCATGGCGGCGTGTGCGTTGTTAACTAAGTGTGCTCTCTAAAAGAAATAAAAGATTTAAAGTTTACTACGTGTATTACTCATAAATTCTATCTGGTTATGGGCCCAGGACACATAATCAGATTGGACAAGTAAAAAGTACGCATTGAAGAAAGTTATTACTGGCGAAAAATAGATCGACGGAGAAATACCAGCGAGTTGAGTGCACGTGCCGCGTCAAGGTTAGAATATCGCCAGGAAGGTATTTCTTGTTCCTGTATTGAACAAGGTTGGAGGCAGGAAAGTCTACAGAGAGGACGATGGATATAATAAACGGACAAGGAGCAATTAAATTGGAACACATGGAAATTTCAAAGTACGGTTTTGTTGCGAGGTCAAAGATTGTACGGCATAGTCAACGGCACGACCCCAAGACCGGAAGATGGCCAAAAAGGGAATCGTTGGGAACCTGAAGATGCAAAAGCTCAAACATTGTTGGTCACTAGGATTTCAGAAGAAGTCATGATTCATATCATATCATGCGAGACCTCGTCAGAAATGTGGCGAAAATTACAAAGCATATATGAACAAAAATCTGAAACAAGCATTCATATTGTGCAACAAAGATTTTTTTAAGTTTAAATATGAAGAGTGTACAGAAATGTCAGTATTTTTATCAAAAATACAAGAGATGCAAAATAAATTAAAACAACTCGGTGAAAGTATATCTGACAAGTTGGTGATTACAAAGGTTTTAATGTCATTACCGGAAAAATATAAACACTTTGTCTCTGCCTGGGAATCCGCCCCTGATGATAAGCAAACTTTTGAAAATTTAGCCGCCAGATTGCTGATAGAAGAAGAAAGATTAAAAGAAAGAAGTGGGGTGGAAATTCAGAACCATCTGCTGCTTTTGTTGCTAAAAAAAACTTTAATAAAAAATTGGTGAAGTGTTACAAGTGCAATAAGCTGGGACATTTTCAAATGTAGTCTGAAGTCTTCTACAAATAAAACTTCAAATTATGGTCAACGTAATTACAAAGACAATCGAATGGGACAAAGGTGTTTTTATTATAAAAAAATTGGACATGTAATTAATCAGTGTCGCTATAAGAAAAATAAAGAAAGTAATGCATTCGTCGTAGAAAGTGCGATAAAAAGAAAGTTCTCAAAAAACAAAGTGGTTAGTGGACTCGAGTGCAAATGAACACATGTGCTGTGAACGTAAGCTTCTTTTATCATTTATTTATTTTATTTTATTTTCATTTTATTTGGGAAACAAACAGTATAAATTGATACAAATTAAAAAACAAAACATAAAATATAAATCATTGACCAATTAAGTTTCCACAATTAAATAGTACATAGAATAATGCGAGCAAATTAATTACAATAAAAAAAATTAACTTTAAATAAAATAATAATCATATGAATAGAAATTAATTAATGTTTTAGTAATAATTACATAATTATAGTTAATAAAGAGTCGCAAATATAATTTAATACAATTAAAAATAATTTAAACTAGGTCATTTTCTTAATTTGTTGAGTTAACTTCTGTAACGAACCCGTAAAGTAATCAATTGGACAGTATTCTTTGTTATATAATAAACAAGAACGATGAATGAAGGCATTTTGTGCATATTTGGTACGTGTAGTATTTGAATAAAATAAAGATTTAATTCGCGAAGATTGTCTTGGACATCGGAAGTTAATGATGTTAAGAAGAAATGGAGATTTTAAATAAAACTCAAACAATCAATGATGCATCATCAAAAAAGCAATCATTGCTGTAAAGCACCATGATTGCTGTAAAGCATTCGAAACGTCGGGAACCAAAAATCAAAATAAATTCGCGAAAAAATCCGAAAATATAGTTTTATTTAAAATGTCAAATATTCGCGTAAATCTAAGAAAGAAATGGAGAGTCAATAATATTATGTAGTAATTTCAACAGAAATGTTTGGTTCTTTACCTTACGACGTTTTTCCAAAGAGGTCAAATTAGGAACAACTTGATCAGTAGTGGAACATCTAAATTTTAAATGCTTTAAGAATTTTGTTTGAATTTTCTCTATTTCTTAAATGTGGACTTTGTAATGTGGATTCCAAATTACCGAACCGAATTCTAGTATAGAGCGAACGAATGCGTTAAAGAGAAGAATCAGGGTGGTATTATTTTTAAAATCTTTACTAATTCTAAGAACAAAACCAAGCATCCGATAGGCTTTTGCAGTCGCATATCTATAGTGTTGTGAATGCCCAAATTTCTCACCCCTAAAACCCGTTCAATAAGATTTTTGTTTAAAGTGTACTTGAAATTAATAGTATTTTTTTTGCGGGAAAATCATATTACGTTACACTTTTTAATATTAAGTTTTAAGAGATTATCATTGCAATACTTACACAATTCATTCAGATCATCCTGTAATAAACTACAATCAGAAGGTTTACTTATGGTTTTATATATCTTCATATCATCAGCATAGAGTAGAATTGAAGAATGTTTTAATACCGCAATAATGTCATTAATGAATAAATTAAATAAAAGGGGTCCAAGATGAGAACCTTGGGGCACACCAGAAGTAACAGGCACGAACGTAGAGCAGTAACCTTTAACTGTAACTGCCTGGCTACGATCTCTGAGGTATGAAGTAAGCCAACGGAGGAAGTCACCATATATACCGAGTTCTTCAATTTTACGAATTAAGGTTACATGACAGATTTTATCAAATGCCTTTGAATAGTCGGTATACACCACGTCCACCTGGAACCCTTGATCCATAGCGGTAGTAACCTGATGAACAAATTCACATAAATTGGACTCTACAGATTTTTTATTTATGAAGCCATGCTGTTGAGGAATTATAACGGTTCGTAGGATAGAAAAAACACAGTCATATATAATTTTATCAAAAAGTTAAGCGATAGTACATAATTTAGATATAGGTCTGTAATTTTTCACATTGTGCTTATCACCTGATTTAAAAACTGGTACCACATAACTTTGTTTCCACAGTTGAGGCATTTCGCCGCTACAAATAGATTTTTGAAATAATAAATAAATTGGAAGGGATAAACAGCAACGACACATCTTCAAAAAAGTAGGAGGCAAGCCATCAGGCCCGTATCCCTTATTTATATCTAGTTTACTGAGGTATTTATGTACAATAAACGGAGAAAGTGTAACCGAACCTATGCTAACAAAACATACATACACAAAACATATTCACACTTGAGGTACTCACACGATTATTGTTGTTGATTAAGGATGGTGACTCGTAAACGGATTCAAAATAATTATTAAAAAGAGAACATATTTCATTTCCGTCACAGGCAGTTATTTCTCCTAGTTGCATAATCTCAGGGATATTAGAGGAAGAATTTTTCGATCGGACAAATGACCAAAAGAATTTGCTACATTTTTTAATTTTACTTTCAGAATTTGAAATGTACAAATCATAATATTGAGATTGTAACCTTTTCTCACGATCACGCAAGAGACTAAACGTATCATAATCAGAAGTTCTGTTATAAATTTTCCATTTCCTATGATACTTTAATAATTCATTAATAACTTTTATTAAGGATCTAGGGTACCAGCAGGGATAATTATATTTTACAATTTTAATTGGAATAAAATCATTAACAATTTTAAATATAGTTTCATAAAAAACATTAACAGCATCCGAGATTTCACGGTCATCTAATAAATCAATCCAATCAATTTTGGACAGTGCATTATTGATTTCTTCGTAGTTAGCACGGTGAAAAAGTCAAATCATTCTAGGAGTCGGTTTAATTATTCGCAAACTATGTATAGCAAATAGTATCTCCAGAGCTGGGTGATGTGCATCCTCTTTAACAAGAGGTTGAGGACAACGACTGACGGTACAGTGGCAGTCACTAAAAATAGAATCTAGATGTCTGCTATTAATATAATGAACTGAATTGAATTGCCTCAGATCGGTAAAATTCACAAAGTTGGCAAAGGCGTACACTAGACTATTATCATCACCACGATTACTCAGGATCATGATATTGTCATTCTTAACCCACTGCGCAGTCGGAACATTAAAATCACCTAACACCAAGAAACCGTCATTAGGATAATTTAGCTTGTCATCGGAAACCAATTCAAAAAAATCAATGAGCGTATCACAATGGCGGTTAATATTAGGGAAATAGCAGCAATATATATGAAGTGACTCAGTTATTGCAGTAGACACCAACGATATTGTTACTTTCACTATTTCAGCTGAAAAGTTGCTCAATTGTATGGATGTCGACGAACGAACTGTTAAGTTAGATTTTAAGGCGACAAGTACACCGCCACCCATTGTGTCTCCACGTTCATTATAATTTCTATCACATCTATGGACAGTGTATGATTGTGTATTACTTTTGAATCAAAAAGTTCGGAATCAAAAATACCATCATACAACCACGTCTCGCTAAGACAGACGATATCATACTCCCCCTGCATCACAGCGGTTGAAGAACGTATTAGTTTTGGTACGTAAGCCTCGTACATTTTGGTAGAAAATGTTTTAATTATATTCCATGATTAAATAATTTTAAAGCAATTATACGTACAATATAATTCATTACAAAAATAATACAAATAATAATAATTCCACTATTCCGCATTTGATTTATATTATAAGAAAAAATATATGTTAAATGATATAAAATATCCATTTAAAACTTAACTTATTTGCACAAATACCTTCACCAACGTTAAAAACTAATAAAGAACAAAATGCATTACAAAGATCAAAACAACTATAGCCAGACAACACCAAAACGCCGTAACAGGAAGTGCCACAGGTACAGATATAAATTTTCCTTATACAATTTTGTTTAAATCCTTCATATTTGATATATTCAGCACAGCACTGTTGTCAGAACGTCTTATTATTATGCTGCAATTCTTTATCCAAACATATTTATAATTCTTCTCCTTATAGGCTTACATTTTTTACCATTTTTATTTTTATTTTTGGTGGTAACTCTGGTGATAAAATCAATGTCAGTGCCAGGATCAATTTTTATTGAGGTTTTGCTTGCAACGTTTTGTAAAATAGAATAGAGATTTTCATTTTTTTGTTCTGGAATTCCATAAATTTCAATATTCGATCGACGAGCCCATTGCTCACGATTATTGTTTTCAGTGAGGATTGATTGCATTTTAGATTTTATTTCCTCGAACTCAGATACCTTTTCACAATACTGATGAAGTTATTTTTCACATTTCTCAATACGTGAATTTAAACTATCATATTTTGAACTAAAGAAGTCCAAGGATTCCTTTATAGAATTGAAATCCTGGCGAATCGAAATCAATTCTTCTTTGAGTGGAACGAATGCTGATTTAAATTCATCCTTCAAGCTAGAAATTTCCGAAGTAACAACCGACCTAATTAACTCAAGTAGATTATTATTATTTATCCCGGCCTCTTCACAGGTATCCACCTGAATAGTTGACAATGATGAACTACCACCTCTTTTAAAATTAATATTTTCATTTGACTTAGTATTGACACCACTACTACTTATAGGGGTATTATCATTATTTGTTTGCCTCGGTATCAGTAAAGAGCACTCCGGGCACATCCCATGTTTTTCAACTCATGTTTTAAATCTTTTTTACTATCTGTTACGAAGAGTGTAATAAATTAAAATGAATAAAGTTATTAAAAGAATTTCACAGCCGAGATTTGAACCCGAGATATCAGTTCGTTCAAGAGTAAAGCCCGTGTAGTATACCGCAACGCCAATTTGTCTTACTTGAAGATAGTGAATTAACGCAACTAATATTGCATTACTGTACTAACACTAGCTGAGGTCATTGAACGTAATAGCTAGAGGACACACACAATGTTACCGCACAACAATATTAACCACTAAAATTCAAATTTGAATACTTTAAACTAAAATAGCACTAAAATATCTAGTTTAAATATTAGTAAACTGCAAGAACACACTTAATTTTAAGTTTATACTGTTTCAATACGTTATTTTGAGATAAATATAAGGGTCAAACGGAATTACACTTGCTCAGCACGACATCGCGCCGTTGACTGATCATCAATTCACACACACAGTCATATTCAATAGTTACGGACAAAACAGTAACTGTAGGTAACGGAACGCAAATTAGTGTCCAAAGCTGCGGACAGGTTGCGCTAGAAGTGTGGGACGGATATGACTGGAATTATACGACCATAGACAACGTTCTATACATACCTGAATTAAAGATGAACTTATTATCTGTTAATCGTGTAACGAGTAAAGGTTATATTTTGCTAACTAAAGAGAATATTTGCGATTTTTATAATAAACAAAAATAGTGGCAATCGCTAAGCGAAGCGGCAATATGTACGTGTTGGACTGTCGTTATTTTGCTGATTGTACAGTTAACAGTTAAAGTTACATACATGGACTTACATGTATGGCACGAAAGGTTAGTACACCAGAACATGGACTACGTGCGGGATATATTAAAGAAAAATAACATTCAAGTAAACAAATCTGACATACTCGACTTCAACAAGTGTGAGAGTTGTTTGAAGGGCAAGATTCACCGTCTGCCTTACGATGTTAGTGACAATGTAAGCACAAGAACCTGTGAAATAATTCATGCCGATACATGTGGGCCAATGGAAGAGACATCAGTTGGAGGCTCGAAATACTTTGTAGTCTTCAAGGACGATTACTCGAAGTATACAGTAGTGTACTTTGTCAAGAGTAAAGAAGAAATAAAGAAGTGTATAAAAAATTTTATTGCTCAGGTCGAAAATGAGACGGGAAACATAATTAAAACTTTCCAGAGTGATAATGGAACAGAATTTGTTAACAATGAGGTTCGAGAAATGTTCGAAGCAAAGGGTATTGTTTCATCAAACGACAGTTCCCTATACTCCTGAGCAAAATAGCAGTGCAGAAAGAGAAAATAGAACGCTAGTAGAGGCTGCACAAACACTGCTGTGTGCAAAGAATTTGCCTAAGAGATTGTGGGCAGAGGCAGTCAATACTGCAACTTATGTGTTAAATAGAACAGGTGAAAGCAGCATTAAAGAGAAACCCCATATGAATTATGGCTTAATAAGACATATGATATTAACAGATATACCGGAAGAAAAGAGAAACAAGTGGGATCCAAAAGGTGAAAAAGGATACATGGTAGGATATGGTGAAACAACAAAGGGATACAGAATATATATCCCACATAAAAATGATGTTTTAATAAGGAGATATATTGTTTTCCAACAAGATAAAGTAACATTGTGAAACCTGCTATTAAGTTTAATAATCCACTCCCTGTACCGTCATTATCAAATGAAGATACAAATGAATAAGAGTAAAACAGACAAAGTGATAAAGAGGAGATTAGTGATCAAGAAGACAGTAGTATTCAACAACCTGAGTCCGAAGATAGTCTGTACGAGCCAAAGTACAGTCAAAAGAGCAGCGATTTAAGCACTAGCGAACAAATTATAAAAAGAAAGGGCAGGATGCAGGCAGCAAGGCAGTCAGCTATAATAATTGCAAATACAAGTGATGTTAAAAGATTAAAGCATATAGACATTAAATATCATTTTGTGAGAGAAATGATATTACAAAAAAAAGATAAGTGTTAAGTATGTAAGCTCTACTGATCAACTAGCAGATCTGTTTACAAAGTCTTTAAAAAAGGAACTTTTAATTAAATTTGTTGAAAGGTGTGGTATGAAAATTTAATGTATACTCTAGTATTTAGTTAATTTACTGTTGATTTAAAAATAAATAAATAATAAAAACTTAATTATTCTGTTTGCAAAATTGTGTAAGTACTTTTAAGTTACGTGTAGTATTAAGATTTATGTTGTTATTTAAAAAGTAATAATAATAATTAAAACTTAATGATTTTAAAATTTAAAACAAAGAATAAGGAAGTATTTTTTTGTATTTATTTATTTTTTTCAAAACTAGTAAATAGAACAAAAGAAATTGTTAAAATATGATATTTTCATTTATTACATTGAGAGGGGGTATAGAACGGAAAGGATTGTGCAATGTAATAAATGTTATATGTTTTCTCTCTCTCTCATTACTGTCATGGCGGCGTGAGCGTTATTAACTAAGTGTGCTCTCTAAAAGAAATAAAAGATTTAAAGTTTAACTGCGTGTATTACTCATAAATTCTATCTAGAATATAAATTCAGAGAGATATTTCAGCTGTTTGAGGCCAGCCCAAAAGACGACGATGGCTTAAAATTAAAAAGTTAAGAAAATTATGTAATTTCATAAGAAAAGCAAGTAACTAAATAGTAGGTAATGACTAAAACACTTACCCTGATAAACCAAGACCGGTCTTAATTGCAAAATCATAGAAACAAGTCTTTTCAGTTTCAGAAAAACAGACTCCTACGTAAACACCGACTTTCTTTCCAGATATTAGGTCCGGATTAACACCTGTAATAAAGATAAATTTCTTTCTTATACACAATGCGTTTTGATTTGATAGAAGAAATAATTTTAGAAGAAGTATAATAGTAATTTTATAAAATAGCTATTTTATTTAAGTTAAATTGAAGTTAAAGTAACGTGAAAGTTTCTATAAACTGTCTTACCAGCATCATAAATGGCTTGATACGATTGTTCCAAAATCTTGCGGGACATGGCATCCATAACTTTTCCTTGGTGATAAGAGACTTTGAAGAATTGGGCGTCAAATTTTGTAAGGTCTGACAATGATAATGTACCCAAAAATGGCGCTACCTCAGGATCATAATTCCAACGATCTTTTTGCTTATTCACCGAGTTAATCTTAAAATAATAACATCTCCAGTACACTTACTGGTAATCGATCATACAATTGTCTATAACTAACGACTTACGACTAATGTCCCTAAATACGTTTTATGGAGATAAAAATAGTTATTGTGTGTGTATATTTCGAGATAGACACACAATAACGATGAAAAAGATAGACATATCTACTTGACTGTTGGCTTTTTTTAAATCTACAATCTTCTAGTACATTGTTTTGGATTATCTCTTACGGTTTAGCCTAGATTACGTCGTCGATAACCGCTTTGCGCTCTAACTATATGCATTTTCCCATGAAAATGAGAGATAACTGAATTGCATCACACTAAATTGTTAAATATATTAATTTTTAACTCTGCTACTAATAGTTTTGTGTAATAAATTATGGATTTTTTTGTATAAAGGACTCGGCTGAAACTGTTATTGTGTTTTCTCGTTTGAGTGAGAGATTTTTTTGTAGTGAAAGTTATTCTAAATATTAATCCGAGTACACAAATTTAGATCTAAAATCTGAAGGAGTAATTAAAGGTTCCTCGTGAGGTATGGATATAAATCATTCAATTTAAAAAAAAATAATACTATGAACATTATTATGACGGTAAAAAGACCCATTATTAGACTACCTTGGAGAAAAAAAACGCGTTACCACTGGGCTACCACTGCAAAAAAATTGTTACCTTATTATAAAGAATTTCTGAAAATTCTTTCACATTTCGTGATTCAGGATATAAACCTGAAACGCCAGAGATAACAATCCTATTGCTTGCTTTAGTGGTTGATTTGATCCTGGTAGGCTCTTGAGGAATGGGCATCATTGTTCTGTAAAGCAATTACATATTTTAAAACCTGAAATTCTTAACCAACATTTTCCAATGCTTATATTATTATTAAAGCTGAAATAAATAAAGTTAAAAATAAAATAATCTTAGAGAGAAATCTTGTATTTATTTATGACTAGCAATTCACCCTCGCTTCGCTCGAGTTCGTCCCAAAATTGCTTCCCAATACAAAGTATCATTCCATTCATTCTATTCATTCATTCCATCATCCCATTTTCAACCCCTTAGGGATGATTTCCGGAATAAAAAGTATCCTACGTCCTTCCCAGGGTCTCAAACTATCTTCTTACCAAATTTTATAAATCGGTTTAGTAGATCCAGAGATTACCCCCTACAACCTCACAAACTCACAAACTTTACCTCTTTATAATATTAGTATAGATAAATAGATTTCTCTAATACTAGACTATAATCAATCAATAAGAGCTAAAAATAATTTATTAATCATTTAAATGGAATATGCCTATGGCTTGTAAGTCAATATACTTTTATTCGTCAAATAAAATCAATACTTTTAAACTTAATTAGCGAACTCCGAAAGCCAATATTAAAGCACCTGAGACAATATTGTATTATGTCGTAATTTACAAACATAATTTATTTGATTGCTACTAATGTTTGTGTAAGATATAACCTAATAAAAAACCTAATACGTGAAATTCTTAGGTGACTTAAATATGTAATTCAAAAGTATATGCATGTTAAATATGTAATTAAAACATATTTTATGTATTTAAAATAAACGCTGTATGCTAACAGCTTTTAATTATTTAGCGACCAAAATTATTTTTTATTAAATTAATAATAAATTATAAAACTTACCAATAAAGCGAAGGTTAGAATCAAGTGAAATTACTGTGATTATAGTGACTTCGTTAAAATGTTTGTAGATCTTATATAGGCAAATTGTAATTAGTTCTGTCGACCTTTTCAAGCAAACCTCACCTTTTCCTCATAAATAAATATCTTTCTAATAGTAATGCATACAACGCAACGTGACATTCAGTCTGAGATTTTAAAGGTGTTAGACATTAGTAGTCTAGTTTTATCCAATAGCCCATCCAGACTCCATACAGACAGCAGATTCAGACTCCATAACCCTATTTAGTTATTCATATTTTTCATGGTCCCCGCGCATTATGCGGTAACAATTTCCGACTAATTTTCTGTCGGTTATTGAGAGACGGATCCCGGCTGATATGTCACTTTAAACAAATTTAAATCTCTTAAGAGGCTTCTAAGTGTATTACCTGTATCCCCGCTAGCCTTCCAAAGGACCGCACTCTTTTGGAGGTCGTGATATCCAAAGTGGTACAAATAATGATTATAATACTCAATTACTTTGTGTAAGAAAGGAAGATAGTTTCTAACTAGATTGTAAATGGCAGGATTAGTTTGCAGTTTCATTTGCTTAGGACAGTGGAAAAATTTCAGCTTCTTTCCACGACGAAAAATATTTATTAACATAATGGAGTAATTAAAACTTTTAAAAAATACCCACTTCAAAAACAAGACGAAAAAATAAAAAAATAATTGATTGGTAGTTTTCATTTACTATAGATACCTAATCGGATATTTTCGAAGTCGGTGTGCTTTTATTTGTATCCGATGGCATTTTTAAGGTCGGTTCTTATTTCTTTTTTAAAAGCTTTTATTTTTCATTATAGTGTAGACATCATACTGACCCTGCTTTCGTCCACTGCTAGTGCTGGTTATAGGCCTCTCCTATGGCACGCCACTGAGCTCGATCTTCAGCTCTACGCATCCAACCGCTGCCAGCCAGTTTGCGTATATACATAGTAGTAGTGTAGACATAGTAGTAGCAAAGTAAGAAGAAAATATTGTAATAAAATATTCACTCATTCCGCTTGATTTAATTTGATGCCAATTTTTATATGAAGACTAACAAACTAAAATTCGCTTTTTTTAGTAACACTAAAAATCAGAATCTAAAATCCAATTTTGATGTATTAGGTCTGTCATATCAATATCCGTGGAAGAGTTCCACTTATACACTTTCTGGCCTTACCATCAGATCAGGTCGACGATAACGAACCACTGTACTGTCAACGGCAATATAAACACTTGCAAAGTTTCAAGTTAATATGACAAATAAGTTACATTTTCATTCGCTATTTTTCCAACCCTGTATTTTTTTCAAATTTAAATGGGACTAAAATTTAAAAAATAATAATTTATATTTTTAATTTCATTTTACTATATGTTTATTGTTTTTTAAAGTCTATATACTTTATTTACAATAAAGAAAATTACAAATATACTTAATTATATATACAAAACAAATGTACTCTTAGTTATTACTGTACAAGTCATGTCCGCGTGGAATAGTGGCAAGAATTCTAGAAGCATTCCCCCGTTAAATGGCAATGCCGATTCTTAAGGCGAACAATGCGCCAGACCTCCTGTCACCTGTAGAGGCGATAAGACGAGGTGTTATGTCTTTTAAGAAGTGCTTAGCACTTTAACTTCATGGTCCAAGGGTTTCTGCAGCAAATGGAATAAAAATATAATTTTGATTAAGGTATTTACGTAACTTAAGTAGTTCAGCCATCTCCGCCGCGGCTCCCACTTTAGACGTCATCTTCCTGACATGGGACGGGGCCGATGTGTCAATGCATGTAGCGTCCCACAACAGTGCCCGTTCCCTTTCCCAAGGAACCAGCGACAGGCCATCAGGTCTCTTACCATCATCTCAACTTATTCCAGATGGCCCAATTAGAGCAGAAATGTCAAAGGTGGCAAGAGCCCTTTTGATGGTATCGTTTAGGGAACCATGACGGAAAAGTCTAGCTGAACTTACCGGAGACTTAAAGTGATACGAAACCTGTCATTATCCAAAAGTGTGCTGAGATTAGTTGAAGGTAGGACTTGCAGCCAGTGTCCCGATTCTTTGGCGAATGACGCTAAAAGTCTGGCACGGTTAATGTCACTCGAAACATTTAGAGCCAAATTTTGGAAATTAGAATGAACCAATGGCGCACCCCAAAGTTTTTGTATGGAAACTTCCTTTGGGATGTCAATATTAGGACATTTTGACTTCCACTTTTCTAAGGATTCTGCAGCACAGGTTATGTTTTGGTTTGATTTCAAAATTTGAGAACAGAGCTCTCGAACACTGTGCTTAGAAGCGAGAAAAGCTAGAAGGGCTATACTTGAAATTTGTCTCACGCCGATGCCACCGTTTCTAATAGGTAAAGATGCTTGGTCCATGAATATTCGTCGAAAGATATATTTAGAATTTTTTCTAAGGATTTTTTAAGGTATTCAAGGTGTGAATTCTGATCCCCCTCGAGCACATCCAGCAAAAAACCGAGTTTCATAGACGATAGAACTAAACATAAAGCCATCATGTTCTCAAACAGGAAAAGACCTAGTTTGTAGTGCAACTGAGGTTAAACGCAGTGATGCAAGAGAAAGTTTGTAGTAAATGTTAACTCGTGAGAAACTGTATAAACCCAAACCTGAGTAAGTAATAACTGGATAAGCGAGAAAACTCTGTACCTGAAATTACCAGGTCCCGTCATTCATTTTATCCCCCTAAAACCTCTATAATAGAAAGTCTTTTTTCATTCGTGAACCTCTATAACTGAGACTGCTACTTGCTTGTAGCTCTACGAGTATAAGCGACAGTCGAACGAATTTAACACCTGCAATTTATGTTTTTTTCGTGGTACTAACAATGCTTTTGTTTCCTTAAATTTTGAGGAACTAATATTAGTTCCTATTCAAAGTCTTATGAATAATACCGATACAATACATACATTTTTATAACAATACATTTGTTGTATTTTTTTTATTTCTATAAAGGAGAAAGGCCACTACTGTACCTCTATGAGCTAGAAACTCGGCTTTGTGAGAAACCTCCATGAGCGAGAAAGACATCGCGGTTCATTAAACTTTCGCTTACCCAGGTTCGACTCTACTGAGACAATGACAAAATACTACAAATTCGATATCACGAGTTTACCATACCAAGTACTGCATTATTCGAGGAACTACAAACAACTTACGTCTTACTTAAGACTTTGCGACAGTTGCAAAACTGGACATGGAGCTCAAGACTGCAGGGCTGAATGCTACCAAGGTTGCCAGCGGCTAACCCATTCTCTACAGCTTGCTGGTAGTTACGGCGCCGGTGCATCGTAGACCCTGATCGAAGCGACGCATCAGTCTGCGCCCCAGCTACAGACGATCAAGTACCTCGACGGATATGACAGGTGGAGAATGTATATTTTACTTTCTACGAACTAATATCGGATCGTTTAAGATATTGTACTGCTAAATATCATGCAGTAGTGGCCTATATAGATACGGGTAGTAAAGTAAATATCATAATAAGACTTACAAAAATTGAATTTACTCGTATATATTTTCCAATATTGTAATGCATCAAGGTGTAAGGTCAACAGGTCAGAGCACGGATTTGAATATAAAGTACCTAGCTGACGCAATTTTCTATTTGCCTACGTACCTTATACATAAATAAAATACGGAATATGTATGGTAGATATATCAAATATATTAAATAAACTAGCGACTTATCCTCGTTTCACTTGGGTGCGTCCCTTGGGATTTTGTTAACAGTTTTATATAGCCGAGTGATTATTCGGCCTTGAATTGTCCTTGTTAGTATTTTAGGTTTATGGTATTTCCGTCTGCGAGCGTTTTTCTGCCGCAAAGTATGCAGGGGGCGTCTGTATTCATCTTTTTATCTCTCGCAATGTATATTATGCACGTGGCACGCGCCATTATAACTTACGAGACTCACTAGATAACAACTAGTTTTCCTTCGTCGGCAAACTTCGTAATTTTCGAAGTGTATAGCATAACTCTCCCAGAAAAATTGTGTGAGGTGCTAGTGATCCATCCAGGTGGCCATCAAGAAGATCAAAAAGCAGTACCAGGTGATCGACTTGCATTAATTCCCGTTGGTTGTGATACTCAGACGCCGCCCTTATATTTCATTTTATTATACCTTCTCAGGGCCCGTTTTAAGTACAGTGTTGGACCCACGCGTCTCCACTCTTTGTATCGTAATTATTGTTTCCATACCGCAAGAGGGCACAGCTATTTACCCGCTTGCCACTCCACCCTTTGGTCCAACAAGCCTAGGATAGGTATCAGTAATAATATTTGTAAAAATACTCAACCTGCTCAATGCTCAAAAAAGCGTCGTTGTGTATTTTTTGTGTTAATTACGTTGAGTTTTCAGTTTTATAATGGCTTCCGATAAGCTTGAATTAAAATTTATTCCGTTAACTGCCAAAAAGAGGCGATTCTCGAACAAATTAATCGGTTATATAATTTATCTAAAAATAAATAATTGAATGAACAAACGAGTTAAAGTTTGCAATTGACGAAACCTTCCCAGATTATTCATGCTTAAATTAACCTCATATTGACGAATAGCAAGACATCTAAATCAGTGCAAAAAGCAGGCATCATAAAGTTACCGACCATTGAATTACCCTGCTTCGATGGCAAAACTGAAAATTGGCCTATTTTTCACGAAATATTTCGCAGCAATGTAACATTTAAATATTTATTTAAATGACTCATAACGAGTTTTTGGTGGTTGTTGCGTGACGATAAATCACAAATAAAAGAATATGTTACGTCACTAATGAAATTGTAATAACAAAGTCAACTCACACGTAAAAACAGTACAGAAGGAAAGTTTAGGGAAATACACTATGACACAAAGAGTTAAGTACAAACATATAAAGTCCACATACAATATCTCACGAAAACGATTAAATTATATAAAACAAGTAAGTCGCATCAAAGGCAAAGCATCGACTGCTCGTTATAGAAAAAGTTGCAAGTGGCCGGTAGGTGTAAAACAAATGCCGATCCACTATATACTACTGGTTTCGCGCGATTATGCTCGTTGATTTAATGTATATGAATAAATATTATTTAATAAATATAAATAATTATATAAACGTGTTGTATGTGTGTATGTAGGTGAGTAGATAATATAAATACGTAAATTAAATATTTAGTAAAATATAAATATTATGAAATGAGAAGTTTAATATATAAATGTGATAAATTAAATATATTATAATATAAGTCACCTACATCACTCCCCTCCAGAGGCCGTGTCTACGGACGATAAAAATCAGGGAAGTGTACTCTGCGTCTCGAACGTGTCGTTTTTACGGGACATTCCTTAGCAGGAAAAATATTGTCCTGTCGGGGTGAGGATGATTCCGAGGACAGTATATAGGCCGGTAGTATATTGCACCTCTTTTGAGCACTTCGTATGGCCCAGTGTAAGCGGGCTGAAATGAGTCACGTAGCACTTCATCTCTGAGGAATACGTGACTACAGTGGGCTAAGTCCTTAAAAACGAAGGCTCTGCGAGATTTTGAGTGGTACTGGGGGGGAACTGGACGTATGCTGTCGGCAAATGACTTCATACGAGCTGAGAAATCGGTGATGTCAGTGGTGTTACGAGCAATGTCGTGGCCTAAAAATTCGCCAGGTAGGCGCAGTGGCTCACCATACACCAACTCAGCCGATGAAGCCTGGAGGTCTTCTTTGAAGGCACTCCTGATGCCGAGAAGCACGAGTGGTAGTGACTCGGTCCAGTTCGCGTCAGCGTGACAGGTAATTGCTGCCTTCAACTGCCTGTGGAATCGCTCAACCAAACCGTTGCACTGTGGGTGGTAAGCTGTCGTTCTACGGTGATCGAAACCGATGGATTTGGACAGCTCTTGGAATAAGGCCGACTGGAATTGCCTGCCTCGATCGGTTACGATCTCGGTAGGACAACCATATCGGGCCACCCAACAGGAAATGAACGCTTTAGCCACTGTCTCGGCGGTGATGTCGGTAATCGGCACAGCTTCCGGCCATCGCGTAAAGCGATCGACGGCTGTGAGACAATACCGATAATCACCAGCAGGCGGTAGCAGGCCGATCAGAGGGCTTAGTCATGTTACAAACGTTTCCTATCAAATCTCTTTCTATCATTGGTAGCGTGTTGTCGTTAGCTATTTTAGAAAACGATTTGATGCTAGCCATATCAACAAAACTAGTGTCTACAGTGTCAATCGTTAATTCTACAATGTGGATCAAAAAATAGTCTATTGAGAGCGTTCCTATACACGTTAAGTCACGGTCTTGTTTTAAAAATCAACGTGTATGTAGGTGAGTAGATAATATAAATAAGTAAATTAAATATTTAGTAAAATATAAATATTATGAAATGAGAAGTTTAATATATAAATATGATAAATTAAATATATTATATTATAAGTCACCTACAGAGTTTAATATTTGATTAGTATATTAAATCATGACACTAAAAATAACACTAAATATTCTATGGAATAGTCTTGTCAAGAAATTTACCTCTTAATGAGGTTTAATTTTTTTGGTTTTTCCCAATAAGCAATTCAGACGTAAGTACTTTTATATTGTGTAAGTAATGTTCACACCCATAATATAGGAAAGAAAATTTTCAAATAACAGTATTTTTCATTGAAATAAAAAAAATGTATTTCAACCAGAATTAAAGGAATTCAGTAAAAACCTTAAATATATAATTCACATGTTATTTTATCTGTACAGGGACTTACAGCATCATACATATTTTAACAAATAGCCTCTGAGAATTTACACAAACAAGTCATTAACGTTGTTGAAATTCTAAAAGGCGAAACTGCTGCTAACTTTGAGGCGAGCAGAGCTATTTCTAAGAACATCTCTGGAATTAGGACCAGGCCCGGATCTAGAGGGGGGGGGGGGTGGCGGCCGGGGTCCACGCTCGGGCGGCAGCTTCAGGGGGTGGAAAATTCATACGTGACAGACGAATACACAACTCATCATTAACGCAACTTCAACCACTGAGACGTCCAGTACTTAAAGCTTACAATAATAATAATTTTTGGCAGAGCTACAAAGAACTTATCAATACATATAATAAAATTGTAAATAAGCCGAATCCGTACATTAAATATTTTTTGGAAAATCTTATTGAAATATCATTATTATCGATATAGAGGCCGTATCTATAGTTTTTAGAATATTTGTCTGTCTGTCTGTTACCGCAACACGGAAAAACCACTAGAGGAATTTTCATGAAATTTGGTATGATGATAGCTGGTTATCCGGGTTAACATATAGAATACTTTTTACCGCAGGAAAATATCTGATGTCTAAAAAAAAATACGAAAGCTGCAATGCAATCTAAAACCTAAGAATTTGGTTTTTGGTAATCTGACCGCGGGCGGAGCCGCAGGCAATGCTAATTTTATATAAATTAAATTTTTCGCATGTGTTTCACGTGTGGGCATAGTTTAACAACCGCGCTGATAGTCCAGCCGAGTTGCAGTCTGCAGCCTTTTGTTTATCAGCCGACAATGCTCGCTTCAGTACTTTTCTACCTTCAATAATTTTTTTCTCAGCATCTATTAGTGATACAAACTTCCGGTTTTCTTCAGTTTGTTCAATATTGTTTTCCCAATACATACATACTAATTAATTTGTCTTAATAACTTCTCAATAGTTTTCGCGGTATTTTAATTAACATCTTTTTTTGTATAAAAAAAAATTAGCGGTCAGTCAAAATAAATCATTTTTTTGTTTTTATTCTTCTGAGCTCAAATATAATATATATATATATATATATATATATATATATATATATATATATATATTCCGCCGATAGTGTAGTTCAAGTTTCATTAAAATCCAATTAGTAGTTTATGTGTACAAATAGAAAAACAAAAAAAATGAAAAATCTGGATTTGTTCTATTTCTCTTCCTACACCCCCATGAATCGGTTTTAGCATTTTTTTCTATGTACAGACATTCGACCTCTATAGTTTTATTATAGTTTGCCTGTATGTCTGTTTGTCTTTTTGTGTGTGCTAATCTCCAAAACTGTTGGGCCGATTTAAATGAAATTTTGCATGGTGGTATCTTATGTCCCAGGTCGTACGTAAGATACGTCTTTTTATCACGGAAATTTAAAGAGTTCCCGTGGGATAGGTAAAAAACTATAGAAACTTATACAGCTTATTACACAAAAACTATTGATTGGATTTTAATGACACTTTACAATAATATAAGTTCATACATCAGAATAACAAATAGGTTGCTTTTATCCCGGAAAAATGTACGGTTCCC